CTCCCCAAGGTTACGATATTCCAGTGAGATTGTAGCGATCATACAAGTCATACAATTCCCACCTATAAAAAAACAACAAAAACTTTATAACAGAGCACATTGCAAATCTGTACAATCTATGGACCACAATAAGGATTCATTTACCCAGAATGTCCTTGAGGACCATAGCAAATATGTATTTATGTAGACTGTCCCTGCATGAGGACCACAGTAAGGCTGTATTTAGTATTCACCTGTGGCTGAGGACCTTTTTTTTTTTTACCTAGATTACCTCGATTATTTACCTAGACTGTCCCTGAGGACCGTAGTAAGGATATATTTTTACCCAGTCTATCGTTGAGGACCACAGAAAGGATGTATTTACCCAGACTATCCCTGAGGTCCATTATGTTAGGATGTATTTATACAGTGTGTCCCTGAGGACCACAGTTAGGGTGTATTTAGTATATATTTACCCAGTCTTTTGTTGAGGACCATAGTGAGGATGTATTTACCCAGACTATCCCTGAGGACCATAATAAGGAAGTATTTACTAGGCTGTCCTGGAAGACCATTATTTAAGAATACACTTACCCAGACTGTCCCTGAGGACCATGGTAAGGAGGGAGTTCCTGTAGGGGACATGACGAGGACCTCTTGATAATCCCTCAGCTGTACTGGGTCTGCCGTTATCTCTGGTCTTGGAGCGCCTATATAAGTAAAATCTCAGATTTGCAGTACAAATATTTCAAAATTTTTTTTTTCATAAATCAGCATAGTACATTTCAAAACTTTGGCTAACTTTGAGAAAAAAGGAAATTAAAGGTGTTTACAAAATAAGCACATAAAAATGGGCCAAAAAAGCCTTTGAGTTAATTAAAAATGAGGCAATCATTTGTTGAATGCATGCAGACCAAAAAAAATTTATGGGGCAAAAAGTTACATATACATATCTATTAATTAATACATAGATATTTTTACCCTCTCTGTTGACCAGCACTGCTAATTCTCCCCCTTTTATTATTGTTTGTGGACTCTCCTTGTAGAGCGATGATGACTGACTCCAGGTAATGGAGGGACAAATTGATACACTTGGCTTCGTTCAGTAAGCTTCCCTGTACACCTGTCTTAGACACTCTCTCTGATCCTGCTAAATCCACCAGGTGTAGCTTAGACCTATAGAACAATGTGGGATAAAGTCAGATTTATAAACTTTTCCTTGGTGACACTGACACCTTCCTCAGAAATCAGGAAAAAGTGTATGTCTTGAAATTCTCCACCTCTTGAACCTCTTCCAAAGTTCTATAATAATTTCTTAATGGTCAGTAACAAAGGACACTTGGAAAAGATAACACTTTTCATTATCCTAAATCTATCTTAAACCAAGAACTCAAGTTTGTACAGTAATAGCTGGTATATTACTAATTTATGTCTTGTGTATAAGACTGGTACAGAGATGAAACAAACCCCAGCTTTTATGACCATTATCATTAATCCAGGTAAATATTACCTGGTGTCTCCCTAATCTCTAACCATTGCTAAGTTGCAAAATGAAAAGTTCATCACCAGTAAAATTTGATCAATAATTTTAAGCAAGAAAATTTCAGGTAACCATACCCTCTTTGATCTAATCAATAAACCATTCCTCAGTGAAAATGCGCTAGTATCTACGGCACATCCTAAAAATTATGTTAACTTCAACTTGCAGAATGGAAAGAATAAATTATCGATATAAAAGTGCAAGTCTGAGGCAAATCAAGTATTGCTATGACACAACTTGACAAAAATCAAAACGGAAAATGAGCAACGAACAAGCACAGGGATTATAAACCATCCCTGAGAGCTCGCACACTATGGATATGAACGTTTGCTGAGGCATTTCTTTTAATAAATGTCAATTCATTCCTTTAGTATTTGGCAGATTCTCATTAAAATGATTGTACAGAGTTTGATAAAAAGTCTTAATGAAACAAAAAATCAGTAAAAACAGCATGACTCAAGGGCAATAAAATAAAAGTGAACTATCGATTTAAAAGATTGATTTAAATTTTAGTAGAAAAAAATACATTTTAAGTACCATTATGCCTAAAAAGATATTGCAGTTTGTTTAAAAAACAATAAAAATAGCTCAAACACCAATGCATGTTTTTCAATGGAAAACCCTCCTGCGTCCACATGCATTCAGTGTCTTACAAAACCACAACCACTTGGACAAATTTGATTTCCAATATTTTTCAATAAACATGCAGATTTATTAGAAAATTATGTTAACATGCATGATAAATCAAAGCAAAGTAGTACAATCAATTTTAAAAAATAGTGACTTCATATAAATCCCGTGGAATTTTGTTTGAAGAAACTTACACTCAATATGGAGATTGTACAAGTCCTTGGGAAAATGTTTCAACCTGTAAATGCAGCCCAGTGATATCTTAGGACCATCTCCCGATCCTATCAGATTGAGATAGGCTACACACTTGACTGCCTGACTCTGACAATAATTCTCCAAAGATTTTAAAACCTAACAATAGAGCATTAACGGCCAAGCCAATCTTTAGAAAAAATACCAACCATTTCAGTTTAATGTTTCAAAAAAGGTAACAAAAAATTGTCTTGTTTCAGTATCGGGACAAGTTATTTATTTTAATAGGAATAATATTTTGCTAGTGGTTTATAAGCATTGGTTTGTAATAGTTTTGTGATGAAAGGTTCGGAGTACATATATTGACAGAGAGCTTTAACTAGATCACACAAAACACAAAGACGTCATCGTTTGTACCAACACTGGTTGATACTATAACGAGTTAATGGCTCTAATCCTATGACTAAAGATTTAGTTAAAAGGCAACACCAAAGAAATATTTGTCTTCAAATGTGGGAAACCATTAATATACTTTAAGTTTATATATCCCAAGGCAGAAAAACGCCCTCTGAGGGTTAAGTCTTAAGAGGGTACAGACTGAATGAACAGCTATAAAACTGTGCATCATATTCTCTAAATTTTTATCACATACCGATTTATTAACTATTGATTGATTTTAATAATCAATCAAATATCAGTTGGTCATCCTCCAAGTTCCTGGTTAGATTACTGACTAAAGTGGTGCATATTAATTATAACTGGAAAAAATACCCAGCCAGTTATTGTGAATTATTTTTAAATACTGTTTTGCTGCATGTTATTTTAAAGTTGGAAGAGAAGGAGCAAGGAGTGAAAGGGGGGTGGGAGGTTAAAATCTAAAATTCTAACTCATACATTGTATAACAATTTATTTACTCCTGTCACTTGCCATCCAAAGCATTTATTAATATTTGCAATATTTGAAGATTTTTTTTTTTTTTTAGATGAATTCTTGAACTCTTTGTGCAAATCAATTTCAAGTGTATCAAAGTTATAAGTACATATTATAATTGTCATAATTATTTACAATAATATATTAAGCAAATATACTTTGTTTTGTAATTTGGATAAATCTTGTATAAACTCTGTTTAGAAGTTAAAAACAGTTCAGTTAAGGTTCATTGACATTCTGAAAAGAGAGATAACTCTTTAATGACAAAAATGTTTATTATTCCTTTATAAATTAGTCATGTTGACATGTAATTTTTCCCACAACATGATTTAACTTATTGTAATTATTACTTATCAAGTTTTTCTTTCGAAATAATAAAAATTAAATCAACATTTCATATCAGTGAGCCGAGGATTTATGAACTTTAAACAATACTGTGAAATCACTAATTTTCATAGGGGTTTAATTTTTGTGGTTTTTGAGGTATGAAGAGACCCACAAATTTATGTCCACCACGAAATGCAGTTTTACACATATATTACTACTTAACATTTCTTCAACCACAAAATCAAATCCCCATGAACTAAATATATTTTCCTCAAACCATGAAAATTTGACCCCTAGAAAATATGTGATTTTACGGTAAATGCAAGAAGGGGAATTCACATCAGTGTTTTCATTTCCTCACTAATAATCTGTAAGACTAAGCTTTCCACAATGCTATATAATAGTAGTCTGGGACACAAAGTTATAACACTAAAGACATACATTTAGAAATACGAAGCTAGTTATACTTACTTGACTACCACATCCGAGTCCGACCTTTTTGCACTCAGCTGAATGGTGAAGACGGCGTGTGACCTTGACGACCTGTCGTGGACGGTGGTGGCTGCCACGCGGCGGTTGGCCTGACCCTGGAGTAGGAGGTTCTGGGCCACCTCCTCCGTGGCGGCGTAGTGAACGGAGAGGTTCTTCACCATCCACACACCCTGGTTACCCTCCATCACAGACACCTGTAAATAAAACACCACATCATAAATACAGTCAGACTATGGGAATTTTAACATTGGTATCTTGAATACCATGGATAGAGTTGAAGGTCTAAAGCACTTTTTCTGTATTAATTTAAACTTCTATGACTTGAAAAACCTCAGATGATTCATTTTTTTTAGCTGAATTTGAGATATCAAGGGTTGACTCTAAAGTCAAGTACAGTTGAACTACAGTCACTGTATGTTAAATTAAACATGTACATCATGGTACATAGAAAAGATTTATATTATAGAATGAACTAACAAAGAGACACAATGGTCTAACTCTCTACTATAGTTTAAACTAAATTTCAAACAAGAGGCCTATGAGCAACATCGCTCACCTAAGTAGTGGATAGGAAAAAGCAAAATCAGTTTAGCATTGAAAAATTAAATATAACAAGAGGCCCAAGGGCCATATCACTCACCTGAGCACATCTACTAGGAAAAAGCACATATCAGATCAAAACTGAAAGTTTACTGGGGGAAGGGGGGGTGGCTTGAATTTTAACCCTCCTGGGTGTCATGATTTGAACAATGTACAATCTACACTACCTGAAGATGATTCCATAAAAATAGAAAAATATCACTAATCATGGCTTTGAAGTACTTGAAAAGAAGATTTTAAAAGGTTTCCCTATATATCCTTATGTACAACTTTGGTCAGCCATTTTCGGCCCAAAACTAGCCCCAGAGGTCATGATTTGAACAAACTTGAATCTTCACTAACTGAGGATGATTCCACATTAGTTTCATCTTTCCTGGCCCAAAGGTTCTTGAGAAGAAGATTTTTAAAGTTTTTCCTATATATTCCTATGTAAAAATTTGGTCAGCCATTTTGGCCCCATCCTAGCCCCGGGGGTCATGATTTAAACAAACTTGAATCTACACTACCTGAGGATGATTTCACACGAGTCTCATCTTTCCTGTCTCACTGGTTCTTGAGAAGAAGATTTTTGAAGATTTTTCCTATATATTCCTATGTAAAACTTGGGTGGGCCATTTTGGCCCCACCCTTGCCCCGGGGGTCATGATTTGAACAAACTTGAATCTACACTAACTGAGAATGATTCCATATGAGTTTCATCTTTCCAATTCCAGTGGTTCTTGAGAAAAAGATTTTTAAAATATTTTTCCTATATATTCCTATGTAAAACTTAAGTCGGCCATTTTGGCCCCACCCTAGCCCCGGGGGTCAAGATTTGAACAAACTTGAATCTACACTACCTGAGGATGATTCCACATGAGTTTCATCTTTCCTGGCCCAGTGGTTCTTAAGAAGAAGATTTTTAAAGATTTTTCCTATATATTCCTATGTAACCCTAGCCCCGGGGGTCATGATTTGAACAAACTTGAATCTACACTACCCCAGGATGATTCCACATGAGTTTCATCTTTCCTGGCCCAGTGGTTCTTAAGAAGAAGATTTTTAAAGATTTTTCCTATATATTCCTATGTAAAACTTTGGTCGGCCATTTTGGCCCCACCCTAGCCCCGGGGGTCATGATTTGAACAAACTTGAATCTACACTACCTGAGGATGATTCCACATGATTTTCAGCTTTCCTGGCCCAGTGGTTCTTTATAAGAAGATTTTTTTAAAATGCTATTAATTTTTCACTAATTCATAAATCTTGGAAGTTTGAACAAGAATCCCCTTCACCCAGGGATACTTTGTGCCAAGTTTGGTTGAAATTGGCCCAGTGGTTCTTGAGAAGAAGATGAAAATGTGAAAAGTTTACGACAACGACAACGACGCCAACAATGACAACAACAACGACAACGACAGACGACGGACCAATTTTGATCAGAAAAGCTCACTTGAGCCTTCGGCTCAGGTGAGCTAAAAAGGGAAATAATTTGAGCACAATTGAATCTACTCTACTAGAGGATGTTTCAAAATTAATATGTCTAATAGCCATGGGTTTGCTGTTCTTGAAAAGATGATTTTTATATTATTTGACAATTTTTAAAGAAATTCTCAGGATTAGAGGAGTGCTGAGTTTGATGCAATTCATGACATCATAATTTATGGACTAAAAAGAAAATTTTGTCCTTTTAATAGTCATTTTTCAGTCAAGTGAAATTTCATATCTCTACAGCTACAAGTGAGCAATTTTAATTTTTCAGAAATTCACAGGGCAAAAATAAGCCCCATGTGAACTTTGTTCTGTAGATCTACACTACGTAAATTTATTTCACATAATTTTCAACTTTTTTGACCCAGTGGTTCTTGAGAAGAAGATTTTTAAAAGATACCACCAAATATTCTCCATCATTTCTCTTAATTATGTCCCTTGAAAGAGGGTGTGGCCCTTCATGAATCCCTTTTACTCTTCATTCTTTTGGCAAGTTTGGATGAAATTGGCCAAATGGTTCTTGAGATCAAGTCAAAAATGTGAAAAATATGTAAACAGCTAGACAACCAGATGGATGATGGGAAAAATGTAATAAGAAAACCTCATTTGAGCTTTTCAACTCAGATGAGCTAATAAAGAAGGGTTAAGAACGTACAACAGAAGGAACAGTGCTATTATTTTTACTCTGTGAAATATAAGAGAATAGTTACCCTAGGGAATGGAGTCACCGCAGACTGAGTTCTGGCCCCTGGGTTCAAAAGGTCATATCCTGTTTCCTGGTAGATTTCCAGGTATGAAATGTGAACACTTATATCTTCTTCTGTTCTCTTCTCTAGCTCTTTGTAGATCAGGGAGATAGACCTAAAAACAGAAAAGAAAATATCATCGAATTATAAATCAAAGATTACAAATTTCAATTCAATGAATGCTTATTTTAAGCTAGGCAAAGTATCACAGCAAACAGTTCTATTCATGTGCATACCTTGATACAACAACTTTTCAGGTTTGGTCAAGGTCGAATCTAATTGACACTTGAATATGCTTCAAAAAACTTAAACTGTTCAATAACTCTGTAAATGAGTCTGATCCAGCTTGTGTACATTCCAGGACCTAATAACATGAATGATCAATGCAAGTTCAGTCACCATTATTATGTCTTATAGATACTTGGGAATGAACAGCTCTGAAAATTTTACCCATTCCATTTATCTGGAAAATGTCGGTCAGATCCAGGCTCCAGCATCAGAAATATGATTACTTCATTGACTTATGTTTACCATTGTAACATTACATAATAAATCATGGTTTTGCCCAAACTGTGTCTTGTCTACTTACAAGAGGAAATTAATAAGTCTGTAATAAGCATCCGTAGATGCATCGTCCATGCATGTTCGGTCACTTCAGGAATTGAAGTTACTTTGGAGTAAACCTACTTCAATAGATGTAGTCAGATCTAGCACCTATACAATATGTTAGTGTGCATCATCCATTCAAGTTTGGTCCAGCTTACTGCCGTAGGAGTTGCAGTTTCTAAAGATTGAAACTGTTCCAAAAACTTAAACATGATCTCTTATCAAAGAAAATGATGGTCATATCAAGCATTCCAAACTATTTTCTTAGGATTGAGACTTGCTTCTAACACTTCAACAGGAACACCAACACTGACAAAGGAGACTTCGTCATGATGAACTAAATAATGTACAACAGTACATGAATATAAAAGCAGACCCTCTAACCTGGGTTCCAGTCCTCGTAACTTGTATTGTTTAGGACTACCCTCCACAGTGAACGTCTTTCCTGTTCCTGTCTGACCATAGGCAAAGATGGTGCCATTATACCCACTCAGAAAACCTGAAAATATTTGCAAAAATGATAATGACTGACTCTTTCTTATAATGCTAGATATTCAGATGTTCTATAAAAGTGCCAAGAAACTTCTAATCTCAAGGTATGTCACATTTTTCTTCAATTAATTAAATTAGAACAAGTTAACTCTCAATCTAAAAAAAATACTTCTACAAAGACTGTCTTTCTTGAATTTAATAAAGAGAAGATGTAGGTAACAAAAGTCAGAAATAAACCCACAAAATTATTGTTGTAGTTAATCAAAATTGGAAAGGGGGGTCTACGGTACTTGATGGAGTTTGGAATAACAACCACTTACCTGAAATGATTTCCTTAGCTGCCACATCAAACACTTCCTCCTGTGTAGCAGTGTTCTTGAAAATATAATCAAAGTGGAATTCATGGCTGACGTTGGCTTTTCCTCTGACTCCTTCTGTCCAGTTTTCTCTCAGAACCTCTGGAACCCTGAGATATAATGTATTCCTACTGGCCTCAAATTCTGGGTAGTATTCAGCTGATGGCCGAATTCTGCACAGAGTTCGAATCTGTGGCATTTTTGGTAAGATGGACCAATCAAAACTCTAATACAGACACAGATGCAGAAATATGGACATGGTGAGCTCTTCTGTTAAATGTCAAAATCTTCACCATGTTCACTAATTTTCATCTTGCTGAAAAGAAAAATTTGTGAATAATAATTCAGTTGTAAAAATGTACACATATATATCAAGTCCTAACTTTTAAAAGGCATGCAGGTGACAAACAGAGAGATTATTGATTACAAAGTGCACCTTAAATCAATGATTAGAGGATTTAACATTTAATATAGGGTAATATTTCAATCAAAAATTTAAACTAATTGCTACCTTAAAATTAATAGTGCCACAGATTGAAATTTCTCTTCACCCAAATCAATAAAAAGACTGTAAACCTGCCTAGCTAGTGCCTGCTAAAAGTGCAATAAACTTGCAAACAAAGATGGTTTTATTTTTGTAATAGCCACATGCCCCAAGGTAGCTGGTACATTTAATAGCTTATTGGGTACAATCATCCATAACTAAGGTGATACATGGGTAAACAATGCACAAATGTTCCACCTATTTTCAACATTTACTTATATGAAAGAGCTTTTGTTCTCTTTCAAAATAAGGTGGAAGGCAGAAAAACACAAAAGATTTTGTAACCAGATATTTCAATAAGTTACAAACATATAACATAAATCCCTCCAAAATGGAAATTAATCAAATGGCATTGACAGCATATATCTCAATATTAAAGTTAACAAAATATTGTGACTTACAAGACAATCCTTTCAGATTTTTTTTTGGAAAGCACTTAATTAAAGCATTCAAATTTATCACTTTTTTTTCACAGCTTCCAGCAGTCTGAAATTAAGAAATACAAGACAAATTCACAATTTCATTATTCCATCAGTATTTTTATAAAGTAGGGGTCAGCCTATAGACACTAAAATACCACCTACAGAAAACTTAAACATCAAATATTGCTAGCTCTTCCTAGCTTGGTCATCTTATTGGTCTCTTTGAGGATTAAGTCATCAAAATCTAACATGCTTTATCTGCAATATCACACCTGGTATCCAGGTAACCTTAAATCATTCCAGACTGCATATATATTTAAAAGCCACTGAATATTAAATTTGGAAATGTTTAATTACTTCTCCACTGACACATTCTATTATCAGATAGATAATTTCAGTTTGTTTCCTGAAAATTTCTTATTGCCAGTTTTGTTTTACTCAAAGATGCTGTAAAAATTGGTTGAAATTGACTTAATTCTGGAGAAGTAGATAAGCAGACAGAAACAGAGAGCAATAGGTCACCTCTACTTTTGTGAAATTTATTATGTTTCTCCTTTACCTATTAGTTCTTTATATGGGGATCTAAAGTTTTAAGTCAAAAGCATCAAATAAAGTGCCTAAAAATGTACTATTTGTCCAGATTGAGGGATTTCAAGCAGATTAGAAACAGGTGGTACTTTTATCATGTTTTTAGAAATAAGGAGGTACCATATCAACGTGATTTTAAAATTATTGAATTTATCTCAATTGAATACTTTGGCTGGTAATTTTAGCTGGGTAAAGTATCCGATAATGGTATATCTTGAAAAGTCTTCTGAATTGTGTGACCCCCCCCCCCCCCACCAAAATCTGCTGCTACCTATCTGTACCCCAGTAATATGTTATCATTGATTAATTTTTTTTTAATCTCTTCAAATACAGCATCAGTTTGCCATTTGGCATAGAAATTAGTTAAACAGCAATTTACATCATATGTGTAAACTAAGAATATGATACATGTACAACTCTCAATAAGTGGGAACAATCCTTTAAAACTCTGTCCTAGCATTACTATTAGGAAGAGGATCAGTATTAATATAAGGAAAACAAATTCTACAAGAAAAGTATCAGATTATTCTGTCAGTGCCTATCTCTTTAATACCACAACCCTGTACATTTTTTTCTATATTAATTATTTTATTTACCTGTCATGCTTGTTAGTACCCATGTGACAAGATTATCCCTTAGGTTCAAGCCACACAAGGCTTTAGATTCAAGATTAATCAATGAATCAAACCTATTCATACCCCATATTTAAATCACTAACAGTTATTTTTGTGTATTCCACATACTGAAAAAGAGGATTATCTGTACATGTCTTATACAATAGCTAGTTCTACCAGTAAACTAATGCTTCATTTTTATAAATGTCGGGGGAATTGTCTCTCTGTGTTCAGAGCTCCCTTTGTCTATAATATGGGCCACTGAAGCACCCTTCAACGCAAAATAGGCATCTCTTCAAACTCAACAGGTTTTTTTTCTTTCATTAAATAATTGAGAAGATAAAAAGTAATAAAACGCCAGAAAACCAGAATTAGTTGAGATGTTTTTTTTTTTTACATATTATTTCCTCCATTTATTTCCATACAAAATCTTAATTCTAATGAAGACCCAGTGCCTGTACCCAAAAGTGATGCAAAAGCTAAAAAGAACATAATTACAGTCTGACCCCATTATCTCAAACTCAAAAGGACAAAGAAAAAGCTTCAAGATACATGTATCCCAGGATATGAGTCTTCTGAGATATTGAAGGTGAAATATTTTATAAAGAATAAGTAGTTTGGACTTCCACATTACTTTGACATACCAATGAATTTCAACTGTATTTTAAAATGAGGATATTTCATACGATCTTTTCAATAGCACTTTTGTGATAAGATACATGACATAAGCACAAGTAATTTCTATTTCAAATTTACACTTTAAAACATAATTTTGCATAATTACATGGTATTGCAATAGAACCTTTTCCTATAACATATTTTGCCTAGGAATTATTCCCCTTAGCTGCCATCTTGAATTTTCATCTTTGAGCAACCAATATTTTAAACATGCATGCAAGAAATATATGGGGGAAATTATTTACAATCTTAAAATCATGAATTAATAGAGGCGTTAACAAATGTACACACTGTATATTCATAAGAAAAATAGTGTAATCTTTACCTCAGTATAAACCAGTAAAACAAATTGAACCTGGTTGAATAATGAATGGAACTGCCCTACAATATGGCAGCTAAGGGTAATAACTCCTTGGCAAAATTTATTGTCATAGGAAAAAGGTCTATAAAGAATCTAAATTTAAGAATTTTGTAAAACTATTTGATATACAGCTGTTAACCCTTGGTTAAATATAAACTACATGGACCGACATGTAAATCTACAAATGAATACCGTAAATCTGGAAATTTTTACGTCGATTTATTTTTGCGAATTTGGGTCAAAAAGCTATTGATTAATTTTTACGCTTTAAATTTTTGCGAATTGTCACTGGCGCTAAAAATAAAAGTCAATGAAGATTTTCAAACCAGTTATTGTTTCAAATTAGTATGCACAGTTAGAATATCACCAATTTACTCGTAACGAGGCAGAATCGCTCCGAAACAATTTTGATAAAATACATGTAAAAGGATTTGCACTGCAAATAAATTTTTAATTGATTATAACAAACATTTTAGAGGTTAACGTTGTGTATGCCTTTTAACCTAAAATATAATCCAAATGAAGTAAAAAATATAAATAATTTTCTCAACGTTTATTTTTTTTTCACCTAAAATTTACACGCCGTTTACATTTGGAACTCTCTGGTAAATGCACTGAGTTTGAGTTATCGCCCGTGTTGATACACGGTTAGATAAAATATAAGTTCTCTCTTTATTGACAAAATGATTAAAAAGGGGCATACCGCCTCAGTGCTTGTCAAACCATCGGACGATATTGCATATAATATAATGAGGGCAATTTACAGTCACGGTTAATTAACTTGTAGTTATAGTAGTATAAACAGGTTTCTTTTAAAAATGACCAGTGCTTACCGACGCCTATTCTCCGAGTTAAAAAAAAAACACGAGCCCTCAGAAAAAAAATTCTTCACATGTTGATTTATTTTTAAGAAAAATATTTTTGCGAATGCAATGCACGCGCAAATTTGCTAAAAATATATCTACAGTAAAAATTTCCAGATTTACGGTATGGGTTCATGTGTTCTGAATAAATTGCAGGATATAATATTTTTTTTATATTCAGCAAAGAAAGCTAATGGTAAATGCTCACTACATATGAGTGGACAATAAAAAACTGTGTATTGAGCTATGGAAACTTACCATAAAACTTAGTAGGAAAAGCCAAGAAAAAGGTTTACAATCTTTCTTCAACAAACTACATGTACTATTATAAAGGACATTTTAATTGTGTCATTAAAAATGTAGAAATAGACTCTCACCCATGAGAATAATACTTGTAATTTTCAAGCTCTTGATTGCAATAATAATCAAGGAAAATAAATTTAGTAAAAAAACATGCCATGCCTTATATTATATCTCTGGCTTAAAGCAAAGCATGTACAGTAAAACAGTTTATGGCAAAGTCCTTGAGACATATATAAGAAATTTGTTAAATTATATATTGTCAATTCGCAACAAATGTTTTCTTACGTCAATGATTACCAAATATGATTAGAGAAGCATCATCAAATACAAAAAAAATATCCTAGAAAACTAAATATTTAAAATCAATTTAATTTAAAACAGTCATGTACTTTTGAAAATAATGTAAATTCTACTTTATATTTTGTGATATCTTAAAATTTTTTTATAAAAGATATAGGACTGCATATATTAGCTACATTAATTATTTTTAAATTCTATGGGATACAAAATCAAATTATTATATCCAAAAATGTGTTATATCTCTGTTTTTCATAACCATTAACTTTTACAAAGATTTATGAAGAATTCTATTTAGTTCTTAAAAAACTTATGGTATGATTTAAACAATATATAATATGTGTAAATATAGCAGGTTTTGACAGCGGGGACTGCCTATATATTAAGTCCTCTTTTGATACAATTAGGTCAAAACTCTGTTAGAAGGCCATCTTTAAAAATTGTTTGACTGCTATTTCCTGACCTTTTCCTTGCCCTGTCCTAACTAAAATTGGCCCAACTCAAAACTTTTTTTTACATTCAAGGACAAAATTCTCTATTATGTCAGCAAACATGTTGAAAATTTGTGGGGAAATTTTCCCATCCACCTATGGAACCAATAATTTTACCCTTAGTTGGGAGAGGGTAAACAAACATTATTTTCAAGATGGCTCAATATCTATGAATTTGCTATATATGATATATCGATGTTTGTACTAAATAAGTTTTAAAGTAAAGGATCAACATGATCAATGTAAAAAAACATTGCTTTTTGTAATTTATAAATCATGCAGTACTTGTAAAACATATTGAGTGATAAAAACAATTTGTGCCTCTAGGAAAAACAGATACTCTTCTGATTTATAGCGAGCATAGCGAGCTCAATTATTTAAAAAAATAAGACTAACATGTAAGAATAGAAGAAATTCGGAATGAAATCTTTACATATGTCAGGCAAATTTTTCTGTGCAACATAAAACATTCCCAAAATTCCTTCGCTACCAGTGTTCCATGCGAATTTATTTTCAAAGTTTAAACATACAAAAGACAAAGAACATGAAGAATAATTGTTCTTTACCAAGATATGCTTTCTTTTCTTTATTTGCACAAAGCTTAAAAGTAACAAAAAATATATTTTCATCTACTCTACCACCTATTTAAGGGTGAAACGTTTACTGAATTTTGTAAACGTTTAAACGGATAGCAGTAAACGAAACGGTACCGTTTAAACGTATGTTGGATTTTTATGGCTACTTACTCATGAAACTCGAATTTAATAATCAATTCTCCCACTTTAATATAAGTATGAGTTGCTATTACAAATTTATTGTTGGTCATTGTGATTTAAGCATAAGAATTTGAAGCGCATTAAATTCATTCACTTACGACCTCGTCACCAAACTGCTTGGTTTGTTTGGTTACCGGACGTAGAAAAAATAATTGTAAAGATGGATCTTTTAATCTCGAAAAAAGTAAAACAAGACCTGCTGACTGTATTGAAACTTTTCAAAGACTTGTGAAAAATGTATTATATTTATTTAATCAAAATATATCAAGTTTTATATTTCAAGTGTCGTAAAACATCGCCAGTATTAGCAACTCGGAAATAGGAATTAATTATGTTAGCCCGTATCGGGTTTTAGATATTTTCATTCAATATGTTTCCAGTTTAGATTGTTGCTTGTTAAATGGTCAAAGACGGAGTTTCTTGTGTAAATTATGAAAAAAAAACAATTTGTTTGTGTTAAACTTTATTTCTGATAGACATTGATAATGACCTTCGTGTAAACGTTTACTCAAACTGTAAACGTTTAGAGCATATAATCGAAACGTCGCCGTTTACACGTGTAATCGTTTCGCCCTTACACCTATTTCATTAAAAATTGCACAAGACCATGTAGTAGACCTGTTTACCCTTATCGTTGTCTCTCTGTATTTTTGATTTGATTTGTCCGTGAGATTTGGCATTTGCCAGTAAGATTTCACTTTCCATCGATTTTACATATATAAATAGAGAACAACTGCTTGTTTGATTACTAAACATGGTTTGATAATATGGTCTGTCATTTTATACCACAGCATTTTTGGCAACTGACATCGCTTTTGTGTTTGAAATTTTTCCCTTTTTGAGCGATTAAAAGGCATGAAACTGAAACATATCATAGCGAAAACTGACTGCCAAACTTCAGACGAACTTATTTCTAATTTCTGTATTTTCATAATAGCAAAAACCTGAGATGTATTTTGGATTAAAAATCTGTACAAAATACCACAAAATCATAAGAGTACACAGGTCTTATATAGTCTCATCTAACCAGACACTTGGCTGTTTCCTTAAAATTTAACGTCATGTGACGTACGTCACAGTCTAGACTGTGTCTCATGCGTTTTGGATGTTTGAAGAGAGTAAGCAGATCAATGATTCAACTGTAAGCTGTGTATATAGGACTGCACTCACCCCAAAGGTCACACCATAAAACATATTATCAGATAGATTTTTTAAAAAATCAAAATGACTGACTTTCCTTATTAGGAAGTGATATATAATTCCTAAAGATTAACCGAGACCATTTTGAACAAATGGGTATCAAAATGCCCAATATATACATATAAATAAACCTGAAACGTTCAAACGTATAAATTCAGCAAAAACTGAGGAAATTCGAAATAATACATTTAAAATCGTTCTTCTCATTCTTAAAGTTACAACCTAAAAATTGCTCCCATAAACGTATTTTTAAAAATAGTAAAGCTCAGAACTACATTTAACAGAGCAAAATATCTCACCTTATAACACAAAACGCGTGTAATACAACCTATTGAACTGTTGAAAATAGACGAGCACCGATCATGTTTACGAAAACCGCCATTTGTATCTACGGTCTAATATTTAGGATCAAGAAAGGTACTTTTCGCAAACCGATACAGAAACCTTTTTTAAGAATAACCGTGTTTTCTTCTTTAAAGAACAAAAATGTATTTAAAGTTATAAAGAGTCATATTTCTTACTAATTTTTTCAACAATTGTTTTTTGGATTAAGATTTTTTCTACTTATTGTGAAATTATATCATTTTTATGAATCCTAAAAATAGCTTTAACCAATGAAAAATGTAAACAAACTTTACCGATCAGAGACCGGTACTACGAATCACCGGAATGCCCTGTAATCACCGAAATGCCCCGAGAAATCACCGAAATGCCACCGAAAAGCCCCTTATATTGTTAAGAATAAACAAAAAAATATTAAATATTGATGAAATTAACTGTTCTAAAGCCTAGATACCAAATTAAAATTTCATAATTTTAGCGTAAGTATTTTTATTTGAAGATATGTGCATGTACCAAAGAAAGATAACTCTCACTGATTAAAGACACGTGCCAGAATAGTTTTATTTTTAATTTTTCCCATTTTTCATTTATATTTCTAACAATAAGTTATTCTTTCATATAAAATTTTTGTTTGTAATATCATTGACGTATTTTCTTGATTTCTAAAAAAGGAGGACTCATGTGTAATTTTACTGGAAAATCTTATATGAACAATGTATATATTAAGTTACATGTATAATGAAAATAGAAAGATTTTACGTTTAGTATATAAACAACAATATATGCCATGTATGACTTAATCAAAATTTATTTTTTATTCACTTAACTATAAGATTATATGCTGGGTATAATCAGGGACTTATGTATGTCCCTGGTACATTGTATAATATATATATATCGTAAAAGGGAATGGTTGATAGACGTGTATTATAAATATTGTATGTATGAATTAAAGTTTTGCTCGATCCAGTTCGTAAATTAATGACATTAAATTATGTTCACACTATTTCTGAGGAAAATAATTCATTATACTCTTTTTCATTTCAGCACAGAAAAGAACTGCAATATTTAAAGAAATTTAATAAAATCAATAAAAATTATAAATTTATTTCATTTTTGTGTATAAAAGATAACAAACTGTTTTGAAAGTTTCATATTTTACTATTTATGATAAAAAGAATAAAGACAAAATTAATTTGATTTTATTGTGTTAAATGTTCAATTGGTTTGAAACAATTGGACATCTGAAATAACATGTTTACTGTGTATAAACAGTGATTAAATAATTGATCTAGTGACGGGTGTGTAGTATTCTTATGTCATATTACATAATCAGGTACAGTGACAATCAGTGACCGAAGTTACGCACGTGCGCTGTACAAACACAGGAAAGGGTATCTTTTGCTAGTGCACAGTTTACTACATCTGATTCAATTAAAAATGAAAGAGTAAAAGTTGACAATTTACCTTAAATTTTTTTTTTAAGTTGTTGAATAGGTTGAATACACACATTACATGATTTGTCAAGCACTTGCTACTTCCGAAATATTTGCCAATAGACAAGAGAAACGTTCCGTAATTGACCTGACTGACAATGTAGTCTATAATCAATTGCAAGTAACAAATTAGAATAAATAATCATTTAAAACAATTAATGAGAACATTTTCATGGCTTAACGAAGAACAAAGTTTAATTTTTTTTTTTTCTTTTGTGATTGCATTTGTCTTTTGAAAATCTTTCATATCGATCGTAAATTATTACAGGAGTTGGTCTACCGTTTCCTTCTCTCTCTCTCTCTCATTTTGTTTGGTAAAACATTAACTTTATAGTCCTCAAAAGTAGATATATTTAATAAAAGATAAATTTACTCGATAAATAATGACAGGTAAATTTTAAGACCTATTGAAAAACAGGCGGCGGCAGGCGTATAAATGGTCCAACCTGGTTCACAAAAAGCCAATTAAAAGGAAGAAAAATAAAAGACAAGGACACAAACATTTAATAAAAAAATTAAGCAAATTAAAATTCCCCAAGACTCAACTGGTTAAAAAAAAAAAACATTGTACGTATGATATAAGTAACTATAATAATAGCAGGTGGACTTGACTATAAAAATTAAGACTAGGAACCTATACTAACCATATTTTAACATTAAATTATTAATCAAAGGTCATGAACAAATAACGGTGACGGGTCACAATCAGTTGTCATCATTTTTCTGAGTAATATCATTATTATTTTTTTTAGACTACGCAGATCTTACTTCCTATCTAGAAGATTATCATCAAATACGAGTTATCGCCCTTTGAAATACGATACGCTTCGAGCACAAAACCTAAAAAAAAATTAATTTTACGGTCAGTTATGCATAAATGAAAAAAATATGAATTAATTTTTATGAAAAACATATGTATGGGCATTTCGGTGATTTTATTGGGCATTTCGGTGATTCGTGAGGGCATTTCGGTGATTACGGGGCATTCCGGTGATTCGTGTTACCGATCAGAGACAGTGAGTAAACTTTCTAATGACAGTTGATTATTTGTCAACGGATAGTCATACATCTATGTAGAATATATAATGATAGTGAGTTTCTTTGTCTTTTCCAACATTAACACCTGTCATTTCTGTCGATATCATAGATCACAGATACTTGTTTTGTATTTATTCTTTCAACTGTTCAATAAATAGCTACAGTTTTAGCAGGAAGTTCTGTTCACTATAAAGTTTTAATACTCCAGCATTCATAAACTAATATGGTTAAATATCTCCTTTTTTCACTTTAGAAATGGGGAATTCATCTTCAAGAAATTCTGAAGAATTCCAGAGGCGTTATCTCATAGGTCGTTTGGACAAATTATCTCAGGTGGAACAGAAATTTTATGGATTATCTCATCTAGTTAATTTAAGTGTGACATGTCACAGCAAGGAATCATGTGAAAATAGTAATAAAGATACACACACATCTCAAATAACTGACAGTTTTGACTCTAGTTGTAATGGATCACAACTTTTTAAACCTTTGCCCCTCAGTAAACCACTGTTCTCATCAGAAACTTTTGTGAATTGGAGAGCGCATTATGACGTGGAACAACTCAGGATGAAGCTTATGCGTAAAAAAGAAATCATATATTTAGTGCAAATAGGAAGTTTTCCCTCCTTTATCACTGATTTTAAGCTTACAGTAGGAGATAAAACATGTTCTCTTTTTGATCTTTTACAAATATTTCTCAGGATATTTTATCAAGAAATGTCTGTCATTTGGTTAAATCCTGTTGATCCTGAAAAAGAAAACTGGAATATAACAACAAGAAATCATAAAATTACTGGGAAAAAACAATACCTTGTGTCCGATTTTTATCCTCGTCTCAAGAAATGGAAACCAAATAACTCCTACTGCATCATGGGAATAACATGGACAGATCTTTATCCAACTGAAAGCTTAAACTTTGTTCTTGGTGAAGCTTCAAAGCGACACAGATCAGGGGTGTTCAGTTTTGGAAGGTTTGAACCCAAAAAGTATGATGCAGAAAATAGCAGAGATATTGAGGAAATCGATGTCCACTTATTATGGAAATTATTAAAGGTAGGAAACAGTTAAAAAAAACCTTACATAATATTATAATAAGAAAAACCAGAAATTGTAATCAGAGTATAAACTGGCATTCTATAAATGGTCTTACTGTAGTCTTTTTGGACATTAATAACCATATTAATGTATGAAATATCAGAAACAACATCCTAAACTTTACCTGGAAATTTTGTTGACTAGGCTTGATCTATCTTTCTCTTTTAACTCTTTGCTGAATATGTTGAAAATTAATTGCATTTCTATAATGAGTTTCCATCTTTTTATTTGATAGGTATCTAGCCATGAAATAGGACATTTATTTGGAATCTCACATTGTGATTTTTTTCTTTGTGGAATGAATGGCAGCTCATCAGTGGAGGAGGCAATGTCACAACCTCTCTTCTTCTGTCCGGTGTGCCTCAGAAAACTTCAACATGTCTGTAAATTTGATATTGTTCAACGATACAGGGACCTTAGACAATTCTTTTATAGCTTGAATAAGACAGTGCCTTGTGAAAATTTTCAGCAATGTGTGCAGTGGTTAGACAATTGTTTGCAATTTCTATTAGGTGATACTTAAAGTTGAATGAATTGTTTGTTACATTGTGAACTTAAAATAAACCAAACATTGATTACAAAGTAGTCAAATTTTTTGCTCTTTCCTCTTTATGGACAAAGCTGTGGTGATAGGCCATTGTCTGGTACTGTAAATTTAAGGTCAATATTTCTTGATGTCCAAATTAGCCATATTGCATCCAATAAAAGATTTGATACTAAAAAATAATTTCAAAAAGAAGGTCATCCTGACCGAAATTTTCAAAATCTATTTTCCGGAATGAAATAAAAAATGATTGTTTTCTGGAGGTTAAAAATTTTTGATTTGGGCGTTTTTAGATACTTAGTCTGGAAAGATCAAACAAACAAATTTTTATATAAGGCCTCATTTAGATAAATCAGAGGCAAGTCATTGTGACCTTTTTGACATTAAGTGACAAGGTTTGATGATCTCAGGGTTAATAATGTCCAATCTCTATACGCATCTAAAACAATCTGAAATTTGTAGCCTCAAAAAATTAAAAGATTACAGCCAGTGATCTATTTTAGGGATGATATTCCAAGACAAGATGTATCATGACAAGGTTGGTGATTCTAAGCCTTTTTGTATCCAATAATTAAAAGAGAATGTTTAAAATGGCCATTAGGGAAAAAAGTAGGTCATTAATTGTTACCTTCTTTTTGGCGAGGCATTACGATGCATCAGCTGACAAGATCTGATGATCTGAGAGTCAGCGTAGTACAGGTAACAACTTTAAACAAAATGAGTTTTTATGTCAATCTAAAAGGGACTGATACATTACTATTTTTGATAAGAAAGAAACCCCTCGGTCCAAAGATATTCTGTGACAAGTTTGGTTATGATAGACCATGGGGTATCATGGCCACATTCCAACTGACAATGCAGAATAGAATCTTACAATAGCTGAACAGTCTTGATACTAGTAATTCCATGTTCTAAGTATAGTACGTCATTTGCTGTAGTTTTCGATATTTTTTTTTTAGAAGAATGTGTCTCCCCCTCATCACATTTTTGTAGGATGAAATACATATGTCATTTATCTTTTGTTAGTTGCTACTATCAATTTTGAATTTCTTCTTGTATGTTTTTCTTATTACTTGTATGCCCTGATGGACCCCAAACTGGTATTAATAAATCTTATCTTATCTGTACTTGCAAAATTTAAGTATTCGGAGAAAAAAAAATCGCTAAAAAGGTAGAATGACTGTTCTCGGCAAGGCAGATACAAATAATGTAATTAAATGACCATGACCACATATATTTAATAATAATTAAATAAATGTAAGAAGAAAAATACATATATTTTGGACAACGACACTGAACTGTACCTTTAAAGACCGGGGAGCTTTTAGTCCTCATCCGCATGCAGGAGACACTGATAGTTTGAATTGTTTATTAAATTTCTTTTACCCCAATCCCTCCCTCCTAAACGTAAACAAAAAATACAATCAAATTAATTGAAATAAGCACATGTACATGTTTTTTAATGATTTTTTTATGCGAAAATTGTGTAACTCAACCTCTAAATCACAGGCACTTGTTTCTGTTATAAATTTTTGACCCATAGTATAATAATAATGTTATTATACTATGGGTCAAAAAATTTATTACAGAAACAAGTGCCTGTGCACTAAATGCATACATGAAACAGAGGCCTGCCAAAACACCTTCGTGTTATAATTTGTCAGTTTCCTTTTGTTGATCACGCTGTTACGAAAGTATTTACTTGTTTGATATTAAATTTAAAAATCACTTTTATATTTTCTTTTCGTTTTCCCTTGGAATCTGTTTTTCCGTTCCGCATTTTGGCAACACCCATTATTACGTCAGAATACTGTGTCATTGCAGCTACGTCACAAAGAAGGCTTCAGGTTTTTGTTGTGGTAGCCTAGTTGCGAACAGCGCTATAAGTAGTAAGTATTCCAGTTATTGCCTCTTATACAATGCAAGAGCCAAAAGAAAGTCGAAGGATTAGGACAAATTTCATCCGTCATTTTCCAAACCTTCCCCAAGAATCGGTAAGAATTACAGAATCGGACAGTTTTATTCTAAACAATGGAAAAGGAAGATGGCCGAAAAATGCTGTGCAAGGGCCTGGTATTCAAATGCGACATTCTTCTTCTTGTGCTTATCAATCTGGTATTAGAAGAGATGAAGTCCAAAGTCCCTTCCAGCCTGTTGAAAAGCCGAGTACCCATTCTGAGTCTCCCGCAGGCATTCACAAACCGCCACCTATTGCGTTCTCCGAGTGGAGCCTACGTTAGGCCTATGGATTTCCAGGGAATACCATGTATGTCCCTGATGAAGAAATTGGTGGCTTTATTCGCCCGAGTTCAGTAAAAAGAGTAGTCAGAAGCCAGAAAAGAGATACAACAAAAATGCTTTCCTATTCTATTTATGAAGGAGATTCCAATGCGATGTTGAGAAAGATTTTTCCAAACATATCAGACACCGCCATGGACCGTGTTCTCAGCCCATCATCAGTAAAGTCTTCCGTTTGTTCGTCCAGCGATCATACATTAGTTGGACGACAGTCTACCACAACAGACGATACGGTAACAGAGGAAAGGTTGGCTGCATTGAATGGTAATGGAGGCCAGGCATCTTCCGGTTTATTCTCTTTAGAGAAGTGGACAGGCTTTCGCCTACATCCAAAAGTGGATGTAGGAGAAGTGGACAGGCTTTCGCCTACATCCAAAAGTGGATGTAGGCGAAAGCCTGTCCACTTCTCTAAAGAGAATACTTCCGGTTCTCTACTTGCTCCTCGACATGTCAGAGAAGCCAAGCATCTTCTTCCGGTTCTGTCTGTACAGCTCAACTTGTCAGTAGCCTAGGAGCACAACTTCTGAAGAGGACAACTATTACATGGCCCCCAAAATAACTACTATCAAATCCCTTACCAGAACACAAGTAAGCATGCATGCATGATACTTCATGCTTGAACTGTTATTAAGTTATACTAGAATGAATAATGCTTTTATTTGCTCTCTTTGTGATTTTTTTAATTTAATCATATTTATAATATAACCCAGCTATGGTAACCCAGTTATAGATATTTTTCGATGGACCTCAATTTAGCAAAAGTTAACTCCCTTTGGTCGCCATATTGGAGGTCGACTCGGTGAGTTTTCCTCTTTCTCTTACCAAGTTTAAGAAAATACAGCAGAAATATTTGGTGGAAAATCTTTATTAATTTTTTTTAAAAAATAAATTTAAGGAGGCTTCCAAAAATTTATATACTTCAGAAAAATAATGATTCCTAATTCAAAATCGCAAATATAAAAATTTAAAATTGGTTGAACAATGAACATTCGGACCTCCACTATGGCTGCCAACGGGAGGTAACTTAATTTTGCTAAAGTTAGGTCAAGTGAAAACTATCTATTGAAGATTCAAGGGCCGGTGTTTACTGTTTTGTGTTTTCCCTGTCCGTTTGTCTGTCTGTTCGCTTGTTTGTCCACAAAAACTTTTATTGGTTGCGTTTTTTCTGATGAGATCTTATTTTGGGTATGATCCATATTTGATCTCCAGTTTGACCCACTTTTGCAAAACTAACTTACAAAACTTTAAGGTAGGATTCTTCTCATATTTCTAATATTTAAAATTAATGAAATTTTCACAGAATCAAGAAGACAATACCAGTAAGTGATAGTATCAGTGAAATTTATATAGTTTTATATTAGAGAAATGTACAGGTCAAGGTCATTATCTTTTTCCTTAACATTTAGAATAAAAAATAACTGTTGCCAATCATGTGATACCTACTTCTATTTCAAAAGTTTAATGTTTGTTCTTTTTGCATAAAAACATTACTATATTAGGTCTATAGCATGATATTACCAAATTTACATAAATAATTTAACTTAACTGGATATTGGCTAATCCGAATTTTCTATGTTTTTCTTAATTTTTTAGGATATATTAGTTATTTTCATATGCTTCCTATATTTAACTTTTTCCTATTTTCATATATAATAAGGTAGTCTTACAAATGTACAAAATGATACAAAAACAAAAAGTTTTGATCGTTTACTAAGAGAGCAAAAATACTTTTTATGGATTTTTGGCTCAAATCTGCACTTTGATAGGAAGCGTTTAAAAGCTTACAAAGTTCTAGTTTGTTTGAAAAATCATATATGTTTGATATATTTTGAAAGAGTCCCTCATTATTAATTTAAACATTTGAAAATTTCTACTATATGTGTGACGTTTTTATTCATTGTTCTATTATGATTTTAAAGTTTTATATTGCAAAAATATATCCTAGTTTTTTTTTTAATTTTAGGTAAGAAAAATATGGTCTTTTTAGTTTCAAATCTCTTACACCTAAATATATAAGACATATAAGCAAATGTACTTTGAATATTTCATCTAGTCAGAAACCAGAGAAGAATCCTACCTTAACCATGGCAATAACTTTTGAACAGTCAGAGCTATGGCTTTCATACTTCACGTGTGTGTATGATTCATTTTGACCTTTCCTTGGGTATAAATATATTTGTTTCTTTGACCTTGCCCTTGGAGTTTGACATACCCTTAAAAAAATTAACCTAAGCTATAACTCTAGACCAATCATGTGTATGTGACATACCTTCCTATAATGGATACCAACATTATCCACCCATTTTATACCCAGTCTTCATCTGTCATAAATTCAGTTAATAATCAAATCAGCATATTCATATAGAAGTCTTTCATTGCCTCCATTTCAAAGCGAAACAAATGGCTGTTTAGAAAAAATCCAGAGTGAACAAGATGATCAGATGAAACACTTTGCCGAAGTTGGCTGACATATCATAATAAATGTTATGAACATAAAGTAAAAAAATGTGATGTTCGAACCAACCTTTCAATTTGTATGTTACATTTTTTACGATATTTTTTGACCTAGCGGACTCTTCTAATTTAACTTTCATTCAAAATCATCACATTTTAAAGGTGCGTTAATTTCGGTAAGTCCCTGGAACAATTTTTGGCAATCCGTATTCATTGAAAACAATCAAATAAACTGGAAACCAATGGTGGATATACGACTCTGAGGATTATCAACGCAGTCTTTAAAAGCTTTCTCAAATTATGTTTACATCGGAGGGTTTGAAGTAACATCTTCAACTATTTTGGATTTGCTTAAAATTTCGATGTTATAAATTTTCAAGTTGCAGATATGTCTACGTAGCGCCGAGAATGCCACGCCTAACTGAGAGACCAAGGTAAACTGAGAATTGTACTATATGTTGACGTTTTTATTCTCATTAAAGTTTTATATTGCAACCCTCCCGCAAGATGATCTTGTTACGTTGTTGGTGGCGGTGAGGAAGGACCCAATGAATGACTTTATTAACCCCATCCTCCGATGCATTTCAGAGATTTTTTTTTAGAAATTTCTCAGCGCAAATCTTTCCTGGAGTTAGAAGCTGAAACTTATTTTATTCTAGAATCTTAAATTATTCAAATCACACAATGAGTTATAGTTACTAGAAATATATAGGAAAAATCTGAAAATCCTCTTCTGTGCAGGCCTAGGTTGGATAAATGCATGTCCAAATGAACGTGTTCAAAGTTTTATATAGAAATATATATGAAAAATCTTTGAAAATCACTTGAAATGCATTCTATTTCCTTTCAAATCATACCCCAGCAAACAGTTGGCGTTTTTGAAATATATATGAAAAATCTTTGTCAAGAACCAGCAGAAAAGCTGAAACGTGGAAGCTGGAGTTTAGATTCTTAATTGTTCAAATCATGCCCAGAGCTGCCACAATGGGGAAACATTAGAAATATATAGGAAAAATCTTTGAAACTTATTGGAAGCATCCTGGTATAATGTAGATTCTAAATTGTTCAAATTGAAGTTCTACCGTTTTTGAAATATATGGAAAAATCTTTGAAAATGTTAAAACTGGGCCAGAAAAAGTGAAGCATTGGAAGCACTGACAAGTACGTACATGGATATGGAATCAAAGTTTTACTAGAAATATATAGGAAAAATCTTTTCTTGTAAAATGTTCAAAAAAGTACATATGTGCCCATAGGACCATTTTTCAAAATGTCTAAATATGATCATGATGTAGCGATGCATTATGTTGGTGAAATCTGGTAAAGAACAGAATGGTCAAAGCTTCTCAGGTGAGCGATGTGGCCCAAGGTAAATAGTATTTTTGCTAATGGATTGTGTAACTAAATGGACAAATTCTTTGATTGGCATTTGATAAAAAAAATTCAATCAGTGAGCGGTCCACCCATACCCAGTCTTCACTGCATTCAGTTAATAATCAAATCAGTATGAGAAAGAATTCATTGCCTCCATTTCAAAGCGAAACAAATGGCTGTTTAGAAAAAATCCAGAGTGAACAAGATGATCAGATGAAACACTTTGCCGAAGTTGGCTGACATATCGTAATAAATGTTATGAACATAACAAAAGCGTTCGCTTCTGTGTAGTGCAGTGTCTGGTGCGTTATGTTGGAATTTTATTTTTTACATTATATATATTTATCTATTTGGATATTTTTAAAAGCTTTCTTATATGCGTTTGAAGACACTTCAATAGATTTTTATTCACTTGGAAAGCAGGGGAAAATGAAACTCAAGATGATCTTGTTACGTTGTTGGTGGTTCAATGAATGACTTTATTAACCCCATCCTCCGATGCATTTCAGAGATTTTTTTTTTAGAAATTTCTCAGCGCAAATCTTTCCTGGAGTTAGACGCGGAAACTCTACGTGTTATTCTTTCACACAATGAGTTTTAGTTACTACAATTGAAATGGACCTCTTCTGCGCAGGCCTAGGTTGGATAAATGCATGTCCAAATGAACGTGTTCAATATCTAGAGACTATCATGAAATGCATTCGATTTCCTTTGATACCTCAGCAAACAGTTGGCGTTTTGTCAAGTCTCTGTCGACAGCACGTGCTGGAGCATGCGCCGCAGAGCTGAATGGAAACATTAGTTGCTGGAGGCTTTGGATATTCCCCAAATGGAAGTTCTACCGTTTTTGATGGCGTTGAATGTTAAAACTCATTCACTGACAAGTACGTACATGGACATGCAGGGTTTACCTTACTATGTTTTTGTAAAATGTTAAGTACATGTTACGACCATTTTTACATGTCATAGCTGTCTATGATGTAGCGACTTGTTGTTGCGGGTGGATTACCAAGGAAATAGTCTGTTCCTAAATGGAGGATTGGCATTTGATAAAAAAATTCGTCAGTAGCGTAAAGTGTACCCGATGTTGACTTGTACAATGCAAACAATGATACCTGGATGTTGGGTACTTACATGGATAAAGCGTGTCACAGTGCAGTGTCTGTTGCTTCAGGTTGGAATTTTATTTTTACATTATATATATTTATCTATTTGGATATTTTTTGCCGTTATATGCGTTGACACATCAATAGTTTTATTCACTTGGAAAGCAGAAAGAAACTCTTGTATTTTATGGTGGTTCTTTTTTCTTTGATAGGTAATAAAATGTACTTGATTGAAGGGTTATCTATCAATGCAAGGAAAAATCTGCAGGATGATATTGAATGTTTGGACATACATAGGAATGCATGGCTGTCTACTTTCAAGCTGCCAATTGAAGTCAGAAGGGCCTTGCATACTAGTAATTCTAGAATTTGGAGCTAGCCGTTAATAATATAGCTCAAATTCATATTTTAAAGAGTAAAAACATGTTTTAAATCCAATTTAATGTTAATTTTGTTTTATTTATTACATTTACATGAATAAGTATTTTTATTGATGATCTGTGTCAAAGGTTGAAGCAAAATAAAGATCGCAAGTAAAGCATTCTCAATGTTTATTTTATTTTTGGTTGTATGATTGTTGTTCCAAAAGGCCGTAGACAGTTTAAAATATTTAGTTTCTCTCCTTTTAAAATGAGTAAATGTGCGCATGGTTGTGTTATAGAAACGTGAAATTCTACTAGATAGGGCTAGTATGTTAACTCTTGAAAGTTAATTGGTAGAGTACTGGACTGTCAAAAGAGAATTTTTAAATCTGGGCACTGGAATGGCATGAATATTGAACAGTGTTTGGGATTTCATATTTCACAGACTAATCATTTGGGGGTGGGGGAGGGGTATAACAACTTTTATCCTCCCTTGATCTTGGAATTCGAGATGATTTGAGAAACTTTAACCTTCGCCAAAAGCTGCCATACGGGGAATCTTGTATATTTTTTTCGTTTTTATAGTTTTTTGTTTCTTCGTGCATGAAAATTAACAAATTGCAAGTGTTGAATACATTTTTAATCAATATATATAGTTTACACTGTAAATAACGACTTTATTTGGAGGTCAGTTGACTTCCTTGTGTTTCTGGTGCCAGTATTCGTGTGGTTTCTCTGCGTGTTGTTCGTCATCATCGTACTCTTTCGTTCTGCATAAAAGACTGAATCCCATGGCAACTCCCGCTAAAATCCCAAGAGCGCCACCTGTCGAAGACAGCGCTAGTGACCAGCCTGGCACTCCGTCTTTAGTTGCCATTGCAAACCGTTCAGTGAGTCCTGCCTTCTTTTTCACAAATAATACAATACCAACAATGATGACTGCACCTGTCAAATATATTTAAATGAATGCATATTTGGCTCTGCGTTCATTGGCATGCACATGTAACAATATGTGCTATACATGTACATGAATAGTAATTAGCATAAATTTATGGCAAAATGTCGAATAAAGAACTGAGTTTAAGATTTATTGGTCTGAATGACTAAATTAGGACAGGGAAGATAAAATATTTATATCGATACTAGTACGTATCGCGATATTTGAGGTACGGTACAATGTGTATCACGATATTATGAATTGGTTATAAAAGCTCCTTTATATATTGGAATGAACACAGAATCCACAAATAAGAATCATTTATTCATATTTATCTTATGAATATATGCAAGGTTTCTTTATTTTAGCTACCTGGCTCATTAGAATTACAAGTACATATAATTATACAGAGATATATAATTAGAGTAAAAATATATGTTCATGAATGAAACTTGTGTTATATTCTTTCAAAAACTTGTCAAATGATTCAGAAGACATCAGAAGATTTGAGAGGTAGAGACACACAAACTGATGAAAAGTGGCATTTAAACATGTTTGTATTCTGACCTTTGACTTTATGGACTTCAAATATCTCTCGGAAAGATACTATTGTTTTTTTCATAAAAGTGTACTTTCACGGTATAAATGGGTCTTTGCTCCTTCTTTTTGAAAACAAAAAAATGTATAGTTTTTTATCAAAACGAAACCTGCAAGCGAAACAAAACTTTCAAAAGGTTTTTTTTTTTCAAATCAAGGTACATGTAACTGCATGCAAATAAAATTTATATAGTTCAAGCACTTGTTAATACATGTATAAGTATAAAATTTAATTACCGATAAATATTTAAGTCTAATGATGTACATGTACATGTATTAACATGCATGCCACTGGGCTTGCAAGGTCGTACTATGCATGAAAAGTTTCAATGTGTGCAGTATTTTCTAATTTTTATATCTTCTCTTATTTTGGTCTTTATTTAGCAGATGAAAACTTCAAAATTGATGTTACATGACATGTAAGATAACAATTTCGTTTTGTGTCATAAAACTGATTCTGTTTGTATTCCATTGAAGTTTTTTGTTCAATCAGATTATATTTATTGTGTAACTTACACTGTGTAACAATTAATTGCACAGAAAAAATCACTCGAAGCGTCATAAAATGCTTTTTTTTTGCAAAGATATATATCATTGTTATATAGGCATTGAAAATTTGGGTTTACCTTTTTTTGTAGTTAAGCCCCCCCCCCCACCTTCAATTTCCTATCGATGTCTATTATACTACGAAACTTCCTGTGGTGCTTGAACTATATAAATTTTATATGACTAAAAAAGACCATATAAACGTTAACACCTCAATTTTTTTTTCATTTTCAAAGTTTGTTGGCAAGACATGTTAAGAGATTGCAATACAGTTTAGCATTTATACAATGCAGTTCATGGTCTAGCAGTGAAAACATTAATACGATAACAATTTCGTTGTGCCTGTTCTGTTTGATTCTGAAGTTTGTTTATTTATTGTGTAATTTACACTGTACAATTAATTACACAACAAAAACTAAGGTCATAAAATGCCAAGATTCTAGACATCTAGCTTGCGAGTTATACTACCTTGCTGGATAATACTGTCAACCTCAATTTTTTTTTCATTTTCAAAGTTTGTTGGCAAGACATGTTAAGAGATTGCAATACAGTTTAGCATTTATACAATGCAGTTCCACATTAATTAAGGAATGAATTTTAATAGCTAAAGCGTAAACTGTTCCAACCCAGTTTATACCGTATAAAATGGGTAGCTATTAAATTCATTGCTTATAATTTAATTTTCATTCATTTGGGGTAAGAAAAAAGATGATTGTTCTAACAAAATGACTTCAATTTGTACAAAATTTGAATGTAACGTCAGGCGGATTGATACGTTTTTGACGTAAGTCATTGTGACGCAGGCAACCCATTTTATACGATAAGAAGTAAATTTTTTTATCCAATCAAATACAGCGTTACAACCAGAATTAAATTATTATAGTTTTAATTCTATAAAATACACTTGAACCAAGTCACTTCACAAAAAATAACTCTATCAGACTCCAGCCTCGTTAAACATTAAAAAATTCAGCAAAATCAACCAGTTGATTACGAACCTTCCTTTCTGTGTTTAAAAATTGATACGGCGCTAGCTCACCTATCTTTTTTAAAAGATAAACTTATAAGATTTACTATCATGGAGCGAAACCCACTCATATCGAAAAAAAATGATAAAGTATGAGAAAATGATCCCTTTTGTCTTTTTTAGTGTGTGTTTGCTATTTCATAGGCAAATTTTTTTTTGTAAAATTGTAAATTGTAGCGATTTTGCTTAAACTATACTTTAAGGTAAAGATCCATACCATGCTATAAAAATAACGGAACTACAGATTCTTTTGAAACTTCTCTTTTAACTAAGTATTTGTCCTTTCCGGATCAAATTAAATATCAAGGAAAATTTTATATAATTGAAATTTTATTTTTCACATCATGTTTGCCGCACTATATGCACTTCGCCCGCCTTGTTCACCCCACTTCTTAAACCATCCCATCCTTATACATCCTTAGAAGTTTTCATAGAAACCCCTTTATTCTAAAACTGGAACTTTACTTAATGTTAACTTGTAAACGTTATGGATACATTTCTCAAAGCTGCTGACCTAATTTTACTCTTAAAATTAAGGCAAAGATCCTTTTTGAGCTTTGGTTGAGGTACAGTACCCCTAAAACTACACCCAAGGGAACATGCAGAGTTATCCCCCATGTATGAAAAAACTGTTTTATCAGCTGTACCAACATCGTCGCAAACCACGGCTAAAAAAATTCTGGAGAGAGTTTTATCAGCTGTACCAAGGGAAAGAGTGCAACTACAAAGAGCAAAAAAAAAAGTCTTACCTGCCCCGCTTAAGACGACGACGTACAATTTTTTGATGATGTCGACATTTAGATCTCGTACTGCTCTGTATATCAGTAAAATGGCCACCGGAAGTGAGAGAGCGTACAAGGCCGCTGACACTGCCTCTACTGCGGCTACCCCGAGTAACCAGGCTACAAGATAAGTCCACTTAATTTCTTAATTAATTGTATTGTCATTTTTTTTCAGGACAACGTAAAATTGATCCACGTTGATCCTTTTTTTTAAAAACGAGGTAAATTATAAACAAGCAAGTTGATGAAACAAGAATATCAGCAGTCTCGTTTAAAGTCATCATTTTGTAAGTTCTATGGTCGGTTACAATGACATTGTCAGCAAATACAATTTATCATTGAGTCAAATGCTGGCTGACGTTTTTCATACCAATTGTTAGTCCATTATTTATACATTGAACTGACGACGGATTTTTCCGTTATTTTCCGATCATGACAAGGAACACACGGCGGGTGTGACCAGTCAGCAGGGGATGCTCACTCCTCCATGACACCTGATCCCACCTCTGATGTTTTGGAGGTCTGTGTTTGCTCTGCTCCTATTTTGTATTGTTTAATGGACTTCAATATTGAATACTGTTCATTATCTCCATATCCTTCATCCATCTTTTTATGCATATATAATTTTTTAAGCATAAAGAGTAAAATTATATATTCGAGAGGTATTCGTTGTACGCGCGAGTGTGGTCAAAGGTTGTTTTACTGTAATAAACTAATACCTCGTACTTATTTAAAACTAAGAAACATTTTGTATATTTCACGTATTTCAATAAAATGTTTAGATTATAAAAATCCTGTTTTTCCAATCCATTTTCTTTAAAAAGAGATAAAGGTTTTTGAATATAGCGGTACATGTATATATACCAAGTTCTCCATAAAGATTTCGAGACGACACGGAGCAGACATCATTTCTGCACGTGCGGGTCCACCAAAGTCCAAACGACGTGCTTTCAACAGTTCCATTGGGAAACTCGTCCGTTAATTTCCACCATTCTGTCGTCGATATTCCGGTTATATGGAGTCCAAAACTCACAAAAGCCAGGAAAGAAAAAACGACTTCTGCAGGACTCAACATTGCCTCAAATTTTGTGTCGACTGTTTTGGATGCAGTGTCTACATTGAACAGTCTGGAAATGTTGGCGAAATTCTACCTTATCTGATTGAGAAATTTACGATGCTTCGCGGGAATATACAGTCTTTACATTTGACGTCACGTGACAAAATGAAGGTCACGTCCAGTTCCTGCAATTTATTGCGTCCATTTCGTAGGTGTTATTTACGAGCTCTTGACTAATATGAATAAGATAAGGTCATTGGTACATTAAACACTATCCAGGGTAAATATTTACCATTTTTGCAGGACACTGAATACAATATGTAAGACACGTATTGTTTTAGCGAATATGGGATTAAAGAAACGGCATGATGACACATATGATATACAGATGTTATTTTCTAAAGTTCTGGTCAGTATTATGGTCTTTCCAATAAATAGAACCCCAGTCATGTATAATGTGTCTAATTAACAATTATTATCAGTATAAACTGTTTATTTTTATGTCAGTTTATCTATCTATAGGGGGGGATTAGTCCTCTTTAAATTTCAAGTACATGTATGCAGGAAAAAAACACAGAATATAGTAAGCGGACCATAACTTGATGCAGCAAAAGGAATTGTCGTTTCATAAATCAGTAACCTTTCCACAAATAGTAGCATTAAGTGGAGAGGTGGGACAAAATTAAACTTAGAACAAATATTTTACTTTTGTTCCATATCAACCGAGCGTCACCAGATTTCAACATTCAAAGTATAAGTAGTTGTAAATCGTCGACAAGAACGCACGCTTATCATTGTGATTTCTGGGAGGGATTTAGTTAAGTACCGACAGATCACAGATATTTACGACTGAAAAAGTACAAGTTAAACTGAATTTATGGGTACTTGAATTACAGAATGAATGGTTTATCAACAAAATATGGACCACTTGTTACTCTTTGATGTACTATAAGAATTTAAAATATATAACGTCATTGTCTCGTAGAAACACATACTGTAAACCAACTTTTATTCGCGTGCGAGAAAGAAACACATATATTTTATATATAGTCCAAAAATCGCGAAAATTAATTTAGTTTATCCTGGCAAATCCCCCACAGTATATTTTATATATACTATATAAACTTTCTATATAAAGTTCAGGTACATTGTTGTCACCAGAGTCCGACAGTCTTACTCCCGGATTATTCTTCTTCAAATCAGTTCTGAACTTGAAGATGAAATTCATCTTTTGGAATATACTTGGTGGTGCACTAATATTTTGAAGGTGTTTTTTCATCCCCTAGTTGGGGCTTAATTAGTAGGGGGTCGCTGGAATATAATTTGACTTTGTCCTGTTTACACAGGCAATTTTAACTTGGACGCCAGTAGTCCTAAATATCTGACGTTTTCCGGGCTTTTTTTTTTTTTTTTTATAACTTTTTGATATTTTAAGTGCCCGAGTTTTCCTGGCAGTACTCTAGTAATACATGTGTATCAAAATCGTAAAAAAGCCCGGAAGACGTCAGATATTTCGGACTAGGCCATGGGCGCCACCTGTAGGTCAAAACGACACTTTTGTTTCAAAATGCGCTCCTGGAACTCCTCTGAACTTTTAGTGGCAGTCTTATTTAGCTATGAGATATATTTGGTAGTATACAAGAATGTATCGAATGTACATACCAGAGTAGACATTTTTACTTGAAAAGAGGATTATAGATATTACTCAGTATACATGACGATTCTGTACAAAAACCATGTTTACTCTAGACATTCACATATTAAGCAGTTCTAAGCTATAATATCACACTTTGGAATATGACTGTTTACTGGTGTTTAATGGATACATTGAACATCTTATATTTTTAGGAAGTTTACAATTTCTTAATTGTAATTGCATTCCACCTTTTAAAACCATAAGACATCGCGCACAGAATTGGGGCCGATTTTGTGACGTCAAATTATCCATTTCTGGCGTTATTGCATACGTCGTTTAAGCGTAAAAACGTCAAAAATTTAAGGCGTAACAAATTAGACTAGGCATCCAATTTCTGCTCTTGTTTTCATAAAAATGTCTGAGTCTTTAGTATTTCTTTAAAAACAAAATTTTTAAAAACAAAATTTTTACTTATTTGCACATTCTAAAAATAAGATTTTACCTGTAACAAGCTCACATTTATGATTTACGTCCAGTTAAATACCACCATACGTATATTTTTGTCTTGGTAACAAAACCGACTAGACATCAAAATTGCTCTATATCAATCTCTCCTATTACCTGCTTATAATTTTTTAAAGAAACATTTGACTACTTCTTGATTTGCACATTTCATTAGTAACTGTAGTTTTTGAAAAGAACCTGACTGGTATATATTAAAAAAAAACTTTACCAACCATTCCATAGTTTCTTGTTACTCGTCACGATCACGGCATATTACAAGAATGCTTCCAATTTTACAAACAGTCGGAATCGGTCAGTATATTGGAAATTTATAAATGAATTTTGCGTGACATCATCACAGGACGTTATAGAAGACTGGTACAAATTGGCAGAAAAATCCATGTAGCCAAAACGATAAAATGACCAAAAATTCTAACGCCCGTCGTTTACAGTGTTACGAATTACGCAATTTAAAACCCCAATACTAGTACTATGCGCAACGTCTAAATAAACCTGCAGTGCTGTTTAGAAAACGAGTTCAAACATGAACAAATTTATTATAGATTTTCTTTCTTTCATTCACATGACATGTCAACATAAAACGCACATACATGTACATGTATAAATATACTAGTCCTTATTTCAAAATTCGTTTACTCTGAAATATCCCCATTCAGTACATGCAAACCGTCAGGTGCATATACTGAATTTCGAAAAAAAAAAAAAAAAGAATGACATAATGAAAGGATATAACTAAATGATATTATATTATAAATGACGACTAAACATAGGTGTTAGCTTTAGCCTGCATGCTGGTGGACCGCTCCAGGAATGGGTCCTTTGGTGGAGGAGGTTTATAGTCCATGTTTATTGTCAATCCAACAGCAACAATCTTTGTCAACACAAAGGTGAAGGACAAAAACATGATGGGGAGAGTGTGGGGACGAAGGATCAGGTCCGGTTTACTGTAGGTGAAAATGGCAGAGTAGCCGACTGTCAAGTTCCTGACGCGGTCCATTGTAACACATGAGGCAACGAAAAACAAAAGACCTGCAAAACGAGAAAAGCTTTTATAGTTAACTTCACGTAAAGTCTAATATATTTTTATGAGAAACTTACCTCTGAAAAAAAGAGTAAAATCTCTTTTCGTGAATAGATAATACTGAAACAATTAATCTCTATTATTACCAGGATGAACAATAAGTGGGAATGGCGAAGAATAACACAGCATACACACTGTAGGTTTCATATGCAACTTTATCAGTTACTAGTATCATAAACGACCATGGAAACTTCCTTGGGGTCATATATCGGGTACAAGGGGAAGCTTATCCTTGCAAACTTTTTTGTTGGGCTTAATTGATTTCACCAAGTTCTCTCCTTAGATAATAATCATTGCGAATGCATTTTAGCATTCCTTCTCTTCTGTCGATGGAAGCTGGATAACGAATATTTTGTTTACGATAAAAATATAGTAACCGTCAATATGTTTTGGGATAAGCACCCTCCCCACACAATGTGACATCAATGCGAAAAGTGAAATGCCCTAACCACTCATGTCAAGGACGTGGCATTGTTTTTTGGAGTGTGGGCGACGGGGCAACCAAGAAAAAATGTCAATGTATCAGACTAAAATTTGGCCACCTCCTCCAAAAATCTCAGAACTCGAAAATCCATTTCATGCGTGTGTGTGAGGGTGTGTTTGTCAATGTGTGCATGTGGAGGGGGTCTGACTTTCCTTCAGAACCTATTTTTGATTCATTACGAAATTCCAATGATTTAACTAGAATGCTACAACAGAGTGAAGGGGGCAACTTTGAAAAAGGGGGACAATCCCAACAACTATGTGTCTCCATTTTTGTTTTTCACTAAAATTTGTTTTATTTCTTTAGTTGCTTATCAAAAGGTTAATGGAAAATTGCTAAAATTCTTACCAGCAATGAACATTACGACCACTGCGAATTTCTTTGCTGTAGGACTTTTCTTTAGGAGGTAGATTATCAGTATCACTAGGCCCACAAAGAGGAGGCTCGTCGAAAAGGAATAGATAATCCGGATAAACTTCACCCAACCTGTAGAGAAAAACAAACAAGCATGTGATCGCTCAAAGTTGACGAGCAAAAACTCAAGTAAATTGTGTGTTGTATATACAGATGGTATATCAGAAACGTTTCAAGTTCAAATCACTAAAATTTTCATTTAAGTCATAATTTTGTCTACTACGCGTAATGACCTACCGTTGTTATCGGCGCCATCCAAGAAGCAGGCGTATGTCGATACATCGGCCACTCCAATAGAAGTTTGGCCGCATGTGACGTTAGCCCAGAGCCCAAGGTTGTTAGTTGTTGAATCTGTCTCCCACCAACAATCCAGTAAAAGACCTAGTAAGGCCAAAACAATGGCCAAAACAGTAACAATGACCAAGATTTTATCCTTGAAGTAAGTATTCATTCGTTTGGAAGGCATTTTTGTATTTTTTTGGATTTTCAGTAATATTCATTTATCTGAATGAAACAAAAGCCACGGACAGGTTGTAGAACAGGAACACAAAACAGGAAGGAAATAGTTTCGTCATCAACTATAAGTACATGTACAGCTTAGTAACTCTGTGTTCATAATAATACTGTGCAGAAAAGGAAGAGAGTAATTGAGGCTTTGTCGACATCCGACGGAGTGAGAAACATTCGGAGTATACTCCAGAAAACACACTACATGCGCAGCTGCGTCGTGCTAATCCTTCTTTTTATTGACCATGTGTATCACGCCATGTACATGTGGCTAAAATCTCCAACTGAAGCATTTATGTTAACCTGTGCTGTATGAAGTTCCAATTAATTATGAAAACAAAGTACCATGCACGTTAATGACCCCCCCCCCCCATTTTCCAGAGGAAATGCAAGCAGTATTAAAAATAAGTCTTTTTATGCCCCCGTAAACGAAGTTTCGGGGGTATAGAGTTTTTGTCGTGTCCGTCCGTCTGTCTGTTTGTCCGCAAAAACTTTAACCTTGCCCCTAACTTTTGATTTAGTGAAGCTATTACTTTCATATTTCACAAGTGTATTCTTTGTGACAAAACCTTTCTTTGGATACTACCAAATTTGACCTTGACCTTGGAGCTCGACCCACTTTTACATGAACATTTTTAAACTTTTACTTTGGCCATATCTTTTGAACAGTAGATACCAGGACATTTATACTTCACATATATATTCTTTGTTCAAAAACCTTTCATTGGATACCAACAACCTTAACCCTTTGACCTTGACCTTGTAGATTTCCGTACTTGTGAAAAAACTTTAACCTTGGCCATAATTTTTGAACGGTAACGGATAGGGCTTTCATACTTCATATATGTAATTCTTGTGAGAAGTCCCTTTATCCAATACCAAGAACTTTGACCCCTTGATCTTGACCTTTGAGTTTGATCTACTTTAAAAAAGCAAACCTTGACATAACTTTTAAAGAGTTAGGGCTAGTGCTTTCATACTTTACATATTCAATCCTTGTGACAAGACCTTTTATTTGATAACAAGAACTTTGACCCTTTGACCTTGACCTTGGAGTTTGACCTTTTAAAAAAAATTAACCTTGGCCATAACTTCTGAACGGTTAGGGCTAGGGCTTCCATACTCTACATAAGTATTCTATATGGCAAGACTTTTCAATGGATACCAATTACCTTGACCTTTTGACCTTGACCTTTAAGATTTTTGTACTTACTGAAAAAACTTTAACATTGGCTTACTTTCAAATTCCTTAATTGTTTTCAAGTGAGAATACCCTACTTTTGGAGCCAATTAATTAAATTTGCATTAAAGAAAAGTTTAATCTTTGCTATGTTGCCATACGGGGGCATCAGTGTTTCACAAGCACATCTTGTTCTCCCTATCTACCTCTGCAGTTTGCATATTCTATCATCGGGGACTTATATTATACTAGTATAGTAGGATAGTACTAGAATAAAGGTCCCTGCTATCATAGCCAAATGTGCCCCAAAAGAGACATGGGTCTCCGGCCTCGTTTTCTCTTTTAAGAATGTGACGATGATGAACAGTTAGTTCCTCGATCCAAACCTTAACATGCATATGGAAAAACCCTCTCCTATTCTCTCTATTTTGCAGAATAAGACTTAAGAGGCAATGAATGTCATTGTCCTGCCCTTTACTGTTGTAAATTTTCAAAAGATGGTAACCCCCAGTCCCCATTTTTTTTCTTCATGTAAGCGGTGACAAGTTTACGATAACCCATTGAGGCCTTTACGCCTTTTGAAAAAAGTTAATAATTTTGGCCTTTCAAAAAAGTGTTTTTTTTTTAATTACTTCCCGTTAATACGCCTTTTTAAAAGGCGTAATAATAACGCCCTTTTTGCATCATTGTAAAAACCTCTATTGACGTGTCCACGATATATCACTCCTTCAGTAAATGCGGTTTTTTTTTCGCGTTTATATATTTTTTTAAAAGAAGTTGTTACGCCATTTTTCACCCAATGATTGATTTCATAAACTCACTATGAGAAATTATTTTTTAATTTATCCCACCTTTTTATAAGCAGGTTTTTGACTATTATGCCTTTTGCACTTTTTGTTAAATGCCTTTTTTTTTATATAGATGATTCAAATTCAGCCTTTGCAGTGACATATAGCATCGTTCGTTTTTGTACGAAAGCCCATTGAGCTCATTTTCGCAGGTAAAAAATTAAAATGTTCGCGTTATAACGCGAAAGTTACGCGAATAAACGCGAAACTTACGCAAATAAACGTGTAACTTTCCTGTTATAACGTGTAACTTTTGCAAATATTTAAAACTCGAAACTTTCGCGTTATATCGTGAAGTTGTATGCAGTTACTATGCATAAATAGTAATGTTCCTTACCTTGATCTTCAATGACAGATATGAAACATGTAGGCAGACGGGAACTTCTATGAATTTATGAATGACTTTTTCTCAGAAGATGTATAGGAGAAGCGACGCGAGAATTAACTGCAGATCAGTAGCGTTATGGTTTTATACATTTGTCTTTGACCATAACAAATACATAAAACCATAACGCTACAGATCTGCAGCTACGCGAGAATAGGATAGATTATAGTCTTCAGATTTTTGCATTTCATTTAAAATGTTTAATCCCTACTAATTAATTTGAATATGAATGAATATATGAATGAATATTCCTTTAAAGATTTTCTTGTTTTTAATTGTTGAACTGAAGAAAATCTTAAGACTGATTTTTTAAGAGTTTGTACACTTTGAATTCATTGTCAGTGTTTCGTAAGCAATGACATGACCACGTGATGCAACCTCAAAATACGATTTTGTTTTTCTACAGTGAGTCTTTTAAGAGACAATGAACATTTTCATCCAATTTTCACATTTCGTCACCCATGTATACTGGGACACATGCAATTGACAACTTTACTTCATTTTGTCAATTTCAATGAATTTTCTGGGATCTTAAATTTATTTCAAATTCTACAGAGAGTAAAAAAAAAAATGACATCGAAAAAGGGTGATCTTTTCCCCTAAATTCAAAACTAATAGTTTCACTTTTGGAAAACTCGCATAGACTTTGAATTGTTTGAACAGCATTGAGAAAAACAAAATGTGAAGGAAAAAATATTTAGAAAGAGGAAATTGTAACGAATAAATTAGATCACGCGTTTATTCGCGAAATTTTTTTTTAATCTACGAAAATGAGCTCAATTTGAGAGGTGTGCCCAGAGAAGAAAAAAAACTTACCTAAAAAACTTAACAAGAAAAAAAAAGGATTAATGTCAAACTCGAAAATCCTATTTTTAGGAGGCAGTGATGGAGTTGTTCTAATTCTTTTTCAGAACGAAATATTTTTTTGATTTACTCAAACATACGCCCCATTGTTTGTCTATAGGCTACATGTACTACAACAACAAAAAAGGGGGGATCGGACTTTCAATGATCATTTACTAAAGTAAAATGTTTGGCCTGGAAAAAAGGGACACCCCCTCCTGATGCTACATGCCTGCTTTGTATTATGGTAAAGGAACCTGTTTGAATGAAAGAGAAAAGGGTTGTTAGAAAAGCTTTGACGAGTAGATCAACGAACGACTTGTCTGAGCTCAATTCAATTCGAAATATATTTGCAGGACTTGATTTCTATTTACAAAAATCGGACCAAACCAAATGGCGAAACATGACGAATCAACAGTTGTTTGTGTAAAAAGTAAATGGGAGCAAGGAACGTAGACCCAATACGTGTAAGTATTCAAAAGTGATCATTGAATTATATTCCTCTGCATGAAAGTTATGCCGTCATTTTATCTAATTGAACTGTCGACGTGTGAAGTACTACGTGTTGCATTTCGGTTTGGTTTTGTTTACCGGGTTCTATTTATAAATCATATCATATTTCACTGAATTGTGCCATAAGGAAGTTTTTTTTTTACGATTCAAGAATCGTACATAATTTCACTATAAGTCTAGTTATAAGCATAATTATGACATACTTGATGAATGAGTGCTGTAAACTTTATAGACTTGTCAAATATGCTACCAGTCAGTGTTGCTAATATTGTATATTTCTACTGCTTAGCTGTTATGTGATTTTCATTGAAGCATTTAGTCGACATGGAGATGCGATTTCAGAATCAGATGATGAATGTTTGGAGGAGACATCGCATTCGTCATGCTCAAGAAATTTTTCCTGTCCGCCCGGCAGAACCAGGAAAACCGCGTTATGAAAGGGTTATTGTGGATGGTGACATTGTAAGGTACAGCTGTTTTAAACTTTTTTCTCTCTATTTAACAATGAAAAAAATTAATAAAATTTTCCATTTTGTTCATGTAAAAGTGATTACAAATGTTTAAAAAAAAAACAACTTTTAAATGGTCTTCTGTAACAACTCAACTATTTCTTACCCATTTTTAATTTAATTAAAGTATAAAATGTCACAGTGTGTTTTGTTGTAAGGTGTCGATGGGGATGAGAATTAAAATACAGATCTGTGCCAAAAGTGGAGATAATTTTAAATTTTTTTCTCAATATATTTCATTGAAAACAACATTATTACTTTTGAATGGCTTTATTGAAGGATTTTAATTAAAGAGAAAATAACATTTACTGATGTTTGGAATGTGTACATTTTAAACAATAGAGTCCTGATTTGGTGCCTTTTCAATTGCTGAAAAAAGAGTTTTGGGGAAATTAATTATAGGGGTGAAATGGTTCACCATGGTATTGATTAATTTGTTCGATTTTCTGTTCCGTTTATTTTTAATTTGGGTTTGGCATAAAGCATAAACACATTTCTCAGTATAATTAAGTACAAAGAAGTTAATTTTTGTGGACTGATAGTTTGTAAATAATTTTGAACATTCAATCAATTTGATTTTTGTCTTCTAGTCCACGTAAATTATGTGACTATAGATTAAGTAAAATAAAGCATAAAACAATGGTTGAATGTCTTTCCTTCTGTCAAAATGTATTGAAAATCAACGTACTGAGACAAAATTATACCATACCTATCAAACCGTGAAATAGGTGTATTGTTTGAATTTGTTTCACCCCTAATTCAGAATTAACTGTGTTGATCACCTGTTGATGTCGCCATTTTGTTATAAAAACAAAACCAGGTCAACCAACCAACATTATTCTGAAGTTGAAAAGAACATACAACACTTATTTGATTTGTTGTCCTCATATAGATAATTTTTAAATGGCTCATTGCTTAACATGTTAATGTCTCAATAAATTGCGAAACACTGACCTTAAACAGAACTATATAAAAAGAAAAAGCTTTTCAAAAAAAAGATTTTTTTTTATTTGCATGCCTCAATCCATTTATCTGTGTCATTAACACAGTGTATACTTGTACATTTGTACAATATGAGCGATTCAGGCTTCTAGAGCATTGAATTAAGTGCACACAATTGTTATGAAAAACATTCCATGATGTATATTGAGATGGATATTTGTTCACAATTTAGTTTTATTTTTTACTTTCAGTTATCTAGCAAACCCCCATAATCAAGTGGGTATCTACATTGCTTCTGACCCTTTGACCCCAGATGATTATTACTTTGAAGTAGAAATATTAGATAGTGGAAACTTAGCTACAATAGGTGAGGTGTTTGTATTATAACATTATTTAATGATTAATTAAATTGTGACCAGTAATATTAGCCTTTGTCAGAATTCCTTTTTTTCACAGAAATTCAAATGAATATTAAATAAGAAACCAGAAACGCATAGCAAGAGACCGAGAAACCAGAAAGCTTAGAAAACTTTAATTGTTTTTTTTTTCCTTGTGGCAGGTGTTGGTCTTGTACCATTAAGATATCCCACAGACTCCCAGCCTGGTTGGAGGGCCTTCTCTGTGGGTTACCATGCTGATGATGGAAAGTAAGTATTCTGTAGGGGTGTGACATTTTAACATTAATGGTGTGTTATTGAAGTAAAACTGGGCTTTTCTCATGGATTTGTATACTTTTTATATCAAGATTGTTTACAACATTTGTTTTACAAAGGGTTTGATATCATTTTAATAGTACTGGACATTTATACACTGTTCAAGTTCATGTAATTGCATTGATACTGGAAGAAACAAAATTTACTTACTATAAAAATAAACAAGAACTTTTGTGAATTCTATTTTCAGACTGTACAAAGCTAATGGGTTTGGTAAACCATTCGGTCCTAAATCTCAGGCGGGTGATAGGATAGGATGTGGAATCAAATTTCCTAAACCCAATGGTGATCAGGAAAATCCAGCAGCCCAGAATATGGCAAAGGTCTTCTTCACACACAATGGAAAAGAGGTATCTCTTCTGTTATTGTTAAAAGTAAGTGTTAATAATGGTTAAAGAGTCCGTTTGAGCATTCTAAAGGGAAACACATTCCATTATTTAATCAGAATTTTAAGTTTTCTTTTTTAATATTTTTCTTCTTTTCAATTTGTTAAAATCACTCTAGTGTATTTCAGAGGTTTTGAGCAGTATCTTCCTTCTACCGGGTACATGTGTATTGTAATCACGTATAATTCTTGACTCAATGAAAAATTAATGTGCATTTAATGTAGGTTGGCATTGTCATGGCAATGTTACCCCCAGATGGTAACCTCTACCCAGCAGTGGGCATGCACTCCGAGGGTGAGGAGGTCAAGGTCATGCTGGATGCAGAGTGGCACTATGAGGATCTAGAGTTAATGGCCGTGGACGACGGAGAAGACGACTGGTCTCGTCTCCACGACGTCAAACTTAACGGCACGGTAAGACTCCAAACTTAATGGCACGGTAAGACTCCAAACTTAATGGCACGGTAAGACTCCAAACTTAACGGCACGGTAAGACTCCAAACTTAATGGCACGGTAAGACTCCAAACTTAACGGCACGGTAAGACTCCAAACTTAACGGCACGGTAAGACTCCAAACTTAACGGCACGGTAAGACTACTTAAAGGCACGGTAAGACTCCAAACTTAACGGCACGGTAAGACTCCAAACTCAAAGGCACGATAAGACTCCAAACTCAAAGGCACGATAAGACTCCAAACTCAAAGGCACGATAAGACTCCAAACTCAAAGGCACGGTAAGACTCTGTCATTGAATCAAAGTATGCAGTCATTGGCTTTTTCACAGATATGAGAAAACTGAAAATTATATGTATCTTCAAATAATTTATCAAAACAAAGGTATCTGTAATGTATTCCGACAGAATTTGGAAATGATCAAAAAGAAAGTAAAGTGATTTATCTGTAATCAAGTTAGATATGTGCAAACAGACCATGTAGTTTGAGGATTTGAGGAAAAAGATAAAGAATTTTTTGTACTGGATTTTATAGATGCTGGAGTATTCAGGGAGAGGAAAAAGTATCCATGATGTTGGACTAGCCCAGGCTAGGTATCCATTGGATACCACCAATCATTACTACGAAATAGAAGTCATGGATCCAGGAGAAAATTGTTATATTGCCATAGGAATCGCAAGAAGGGTAAGTGTTCACTCACAGTCTGTAAAATAACTATTTCTTAATAAGTTGGGAAAAAAAGAACCATATAAAAAGAAATGTATTGGTCTGTGAAATGATTTCTTTTAATTCAATTGCATGTATTATACTAAGCAAAAAACAACATTGGAAGTATCAGTGATAACTTTTTAAAAACAATAGAATCATTTTTTTTAAAAGATAAAAGCAGTGTTAACTGACAACATACATGTGTAATCTTTTGATATCCTCTAGAATTATCCAAAGAACCGACATCCTGGTTGGAATAAAGGCTCAGTGGCATATCATGCAGGTAAGTATTCAGTACTAATCAGAGTACATCCTTCACACCATGAATGCTTAATAACCACATGTATCATACAAAGTCCAGACAGTGTACCGGGTAATAATGATCCAGTTGGGTAGTCCATTAATTTTATATAAAATTGAATTTTGTTGTCCCTTGTAGATGATGGTAAAATCTTTGTTGGCTCTGGAGTAGGTGAGCCATTTGGTCCCAAATGTCATAAAGGTAAGGGGGCATACAAATGTTAATGTTACGAAAGTAAAGAATTCGAAGGGGGCAAACAAATGTTAATGTTACAAAAGGAAAGGTTGGACAAAAGTTGTTTTGTGAAATGCAAAAGGTGTTTATCTTATTATCAAATCTTAGTAAGTTTTAGATAAATTTTCAATTTATTTTGTTGTAATTTTTTCTGTTGCCATATTTTATTTCTGTGTGACATGCCATTTCTGTCAGTAATGCTTTTTAGCTCAAAATTAGTTTTATAAGCATCAGACATGAAATGATCCATCCCTGTCTATTCCAGGTGATATAATGGGTTGTGGAATCCTGTTCCCTAATGATTATGACAGTGAGGCTGACAGCGACCAGTCTCCGGATGACCCGGATGTCAGTAACAGAGAACTGGATGAGCTGGATCCATCCGATTCGGATGACTCCGATGAAGAGAACATGTGGTGGAGGCCAGGCAATGATGACCAAGGAACCAAAGTACAGGTGGGACTATCACATTAAACCTCTGTGTGTGGGGATGGGGGGGGGGGGAGGGGCAAGGAACAAAGGACTATCACATTAAAGTTGAGGGGGGGTGACCAAGAACCAAAGTACTAGTGGGACAAAATGGGGGAAATGAAGAGTAAATAGTTGTACATATACAGTTTATAAAGCAAAATGCCTCATTTTTGGAAACCTGGTTGGCTGATTATGCTGCATAATTTTCTCTATCACGTATAGGTATAAATGATAAATGACCCATGGATCAGTGATGGATGATAGAGAAAATCGATGTAGTGTTGTTAACCATTGATCTCTAACATCACAAGCACCAAGGTTATAATCTCTTGGTGTGGATGTTGTCAGTGATATGCATGTAGAATATGTTACAAGAATTTGATTAATGCAGCATGTGGGATTTATGGAATTGTTAAAATCAGAATGACCAAAAAACTCACTTTTTTCTAATTAATATCTAATGGATTTTTGATTTCCAGGTGTTTTTCACAAGAAATGGAAAGATTGTGGGAACGAAACAAGTGTCAATACCAAAGGGAGGATTTTATCCAACGGTTGGAATGCTCAGTAGTTGTGAAAAAGTGCGAGTGGACTTACATCCATTAACTGGATGACCTCTGACCTTCTAGATACTATCTACAATTATTTTACACTGACCAGATTCCCATTGCTTAAGTCCCACACAACAATATGCACTGGATATTCTCTCAAGCTTGTTTCACTGTTAACATTCTGCACCTTTCAGAAGGAGGATGTAGGCAGTAGCACTGAAATCAGGAAAAGCCCCGTAATTTTGGGGGGGACAAGTTATTTTGATCATTTTTCAAGCCATGTGCTGGTATTGTTTGAGCTCTTATATAGGATTGTGCTACAATTTGTGCCAAAAAGTCTTAGGTTTTTTTTATTTTATGAATCTAAACAAACTTTTGCTATATTAATAGCTTGCTTCAATGAATTTTCAAAAATATCTTCACATCTATTTGAAGAACAAATTAAAAGAAATGTGCAAGTAGACCTGTTTTCAAACTTTACTAGTTTATAAGAAATATTCTAAAATTAAAAATATTATTGTAATTAAATAACTGTCTATTAGCAATAGCTTATTGAGTAAAATGATTTGCAAAAAAAGGTAGTAACATGTAGCTTTTTTTTGTAAGCGGCAGTGAGGTTAGCTGAATTAAAAGAATCATCATTTATAGCTCTGATTTGTATTTGTACCAGCTTTTTTTAAACTGGTGTATATAAAATGCAATATATATAATTAATTCATTTTTTTTCTGCTCCTACTTGTATATGTGTACTTGTATACATATATAATGAAATGTGAATGTACATGTAATTAACAATGTTAATTAACAAAAATCCAGCATATCAGGAACAGTAACTCTGTCTATAATATTATTGAATACAAGCTGTGATACACCTTACTATTTTATTATAGCATATTTGTAGTTTGAGAGGGCAGACATGCGTGGATTTCCATATGATTTTACATGAAACAGGTTTACATGTGTATGTGTATAGAGTGTGAATTTTGTAGTCATGGTTCAAATGCTTTGATTCTTTTTTTTTTTTTAAATTAAATCATTATTTTTGTTTACTATTGATTTTAGTGAACCTGAGCATTTGATGGACAGAGCTTTTGCCAGAAGTAAATTATCCGTAATAACAATTGCGTTAACATATAAAACCTTTCAGCAGTTATTTCCTGACATAATTCTCCAAATGCTAAGATCGCTCACTAATTGCACTCCACTTTTGCATCATGTCTAAACATAAATGGGATACAGTCAAAACTTGACGGGATTGAGGAAAAAAAATCAATAAAATTGAGGATTCATGATATCAGGGGTAAAAATACTTAAAATACTAAGCTGTCAATACTTCCAAATTACCTTGACATATCTGTGGTATTCAAGTTATAAGTGTTTGAGATACCAATCAGCTGTGTGTGTATGAATCAATGCTCCCCCATCCCAAGCCTTCTTGTTTGAAAACAAGCAACATAACAGTATTAGATGATGGTTTCTGTTGTTTGTGTTATTTGTAAATGGTTGAGAGAAGTCAAATGGTTTTGTATTAACAGTATTTGCATGTAGTTGTTTATGATTTGACTTGATGCTATGAAACAGTTCAGATGACCCTGTTTGATGAAGAACATTTTTGTTGTATGTTGTTGTTACCCCCTTTTTTTGTTTGTTTCATACAAATATATATAACTCACAACTAGTATTTTTTAAATAAAAGTACATGCATGTATTCTGTTAATATTAAGTGTTAGATTTTAAAATAATGACCTGTTTTGAATAGTAAAATGTATATTTTTGCAGTTGGTTATTAAAAGAAAAGAATAGGTAGCTAAACAAGAATGGCACTTACAAAGACTAAGGCAAAAGAAACCAGAATTTGCACAAAGAATTTCAATTTGAAATGTTTTAACAATTGCCCACTCTCATATTTGTAGAAATCTTTGAAAGATTTTTCACTTAATTTGTCCAATTATATTGTATGCATGAAATTAAAAAAAAAAAATTGGATTTGTTGTGTAATTTGATGCACACAAACTTTTCATTTGCCAGTTGTTATTATGAAGTTTGCAAACATTTATTGTCACTGTTCATGACAGATGTTTTAAGAGGAATCCATTCTATAGGAAAACATGTTCTAGTGCTTTGCTGAATGCATAAATTTCTTTTGTATAATAATTATGCACTTTTTTTTGCAGAATTGAAGTAAAAAAAAATTACAAATACACAAAGAATGTTGTGGCAATATACTGTATAATGCATTGTTTTCACAGTAATCTAACTTTTGTTGTTTTTTTAGATTGAAGAAAATAGATTCATATAGAATTCTCATCGATTGTGAAAATATCCATTATGTAGAAAGAGGATGACCAGTTGAAAATAATGTTTTGGTATATTTTTACAAAAAATTGAGATATGAAGAAAAATACAATGTACAGTACCGGTACTATGGTAGAAATATCTACATAGGGATGAATCCCATTTTAAATGAAGGCTTAATTTTTCATCTTTTTCTTAATTGTACTATCTTATTAATGATAGCTATTAGATTTAGGTTGTTTTCTTGTTTGAAACAAATTACCTTAAAATGGGAATGTGATGGGTTTTTTTTTTTTGGTAAACATGTTACATTATGATTCCAACACAATTGTTTTAATTCGTTGGATGAAGAAATGAAAATCTAAAAAAAAAAATTGTTTTACTTCTAGATTTAAAATAAATCAGAAATAAATGTACACGAATGTCAAGTACGACTAAGACTTTCTTTTTGCATAATGTATTATTTATCACTTTATACATGCATGTTTCAACTTGTTACATGTAATTGTGAAATTTTACAGTGATTTTTGATCACATGAAAGGCAAAATGTTTTTGATTAAAATTGGTTACATTTGTGGTTAATATGTGTCATAAAAATTTATGTCATGTTAAGTGAATAGAATGCTTTTTGATGCCTTTTTGTAATAAAAACATATAATGTTATATGAAGTTGGGATGTAATTTAAAAATACAGTGAAGCTTTTCTAAACCCAGATATTGTATATACCGGTAATCCAATATCTTGTTCAATACAATGCCTTTTCAGTAAATTCTTTCCTATACTAGAAATATGTCCATAGGACATGAATGCCCCACCGAGGCTATATTAGTAAAGCAACATGAAAATTTGTATGTGTATAAAAATATCTTGAATAGTGATGCAGTTGAATTGCTTACAAGGTCGAAGGAAATGCCAAGGTCAAAAACTGTTAATGCAGTTGAAAAGCTCTCATCAGTATGTTTCACCATATGAAGTTGAAAAAATATTATAAATGGTTTCTTCAAAACTGACATAAACACAAATGGATAAAAGTAAGGTCAAGGTCAAATGAAAGGTCAAGGTAAAAATGATACACTTGAAATGCTTACCTCAATATCTATCAGCTAATGACGTTTGACAATAATTTAGGGAAAATGAGGTCAAGGTCAAAGGAAAGGTCAAGGTCAAAAACGATGTAGTTGCATATCTCTCATCAATTGTGTATCAACATATGAAATTTTATTAAAAAAATATCTAGAAATGATGTCTTTAATTAAAACTGACTTAAACACAATTTGATAAAAGTGAGGTCAAGGTCACAAAGGAAGGTCAAAATTGATCAAGCAGTTGAATTGCTTACATCAGTATGTATCAGCAAATGAAGTATGACACTGATTTGTGAAAAGCTGGGTCAAGGTCGAAGGAAAGGTCAAGGTCAGAAATGTTGATGCAGTTGCATATCTCTCATCAAATATGTATCAACATATGAAGTTTGATAAAAATATCTAGAAATGATGTCTTTAATTAAAACTGACTTAAACACAATTTGATAAAAGTGAGGTCAAGGTCAAAAAGGTCAAGATCAAAATTGTTGAAGCAGTTGAATTGCTTACATCAGTATGTATCAGCATATGAAGTTTGACACTGGTTTGTGAAAATTGAGGTCAAAGATCAAAGGAAAGGTCAAGGTCAAAAATGTTGATGCAGATGAATTGCTCTCATCAATATGTAACAGTATCAATATGTAACAGCATATTAAGTTTGATAAAAATATCTTGAATGGTATCTTTAAAACTAAGGAAACACTAATTAAAGATAAGTGAGTTCAAAGGTCAAAGGAAAGGTCAAGGTAAAAAATGTTGATGCAGTTGAATAGCTCTCTCATCAGTATGTACCAACATGTGAACTTTGATAACACCATCTTAAACGGAATGTTTAAGACTGAACAAAAAACACTAATTTAAGAAAAGTGAGGTCAAAGGAAAGGTCAAGGTCAAAATGTTGATGCAGATGCATTGCTCTCATTAATATGTAACATCATTAAATTTGATAAAAATATCTTGAATGGTATCTTTAAAACTAAGCGCAACACTAATTAAAGATAAGTGAGTTCAAAGGTCAAAGGAAAGGTCAAGGTAAAAAATGTTGATGCAGTTGAATAGCCCTCATCAGTATGTATCAACATGTGAAGTTTGATAACATCATCTTAAATGGTATGTAGAAGACTGAGCAAAACACTAAGCTAAGAAAAGTGAGGTAAAGGTCAAAGGAAAGGTCAAGGGCAAAAAATGTTGATGCAGTTGCATAGTTATCATCAATATCTATCAGCATATGAAGTTTGACGAAAATATCTTGGATAGTGTCTTTGAAAGTTAGCTTTGATCAGAGCTAAACGCAAAGTGTGACGGAAGGACAGAAGACGGACATGACAAGCACTATATGCCCCGGCAATATTCATGGTGGGGCATAAAAATGTGTCTAATCCGGAATATTGTCTGTTCCAGCCAATTTCCTTGGAATCAGTGTTCAGAATAGACAAGATTTACTGTAATACCCTACCCTTTATACCTTCCACTTGAAAAAATGGGGAGGAGGTATAGATGATGTGTTCTGTATGTCTATATATAGAAGTATGTATGTCTATATATTACATTTCAATAGGTTCATCTACTTCATTTGGGTTGGGGGGGGGGGGGGTGGCCAATGGAACTTTCATGGAATCTTATTTACGTACTGCCAAGAAATGCACTTCCCAATTACACTCGGGTTATGATTTTGTGAACTCGCACATCATCTTTAAATTTTTAAAAACCATCATCAAAATTAAGGATTAGGTAAAAAGCTTACATCTTTTATCAAACTTTCACTGAAATTTATTCATAACTTTGTTTGCAGTAAATTTAAATCTACTCAACTGAGTTGTATACGAATTGTTCAAGTTTTTCAGTGGGTTCAAACACAATTTGTTTGACATACACTTCTGCAGTTGGAATTAAGACATAAAGTATGAACACCATCAACACCAAAGGTCTCTCACCAGCTATATCTGTGAATGAAGTTTGATAAATTTTCAAGATGTTTGTGAAACATGGATGTAGATAAACACTTCTTATGCAGGGAAATTTTGGCCACCATGTTATTTTTGTCCCCCGCTTTCGCGAAAGCGAGGGGACATTAAATCTCATTTGTCTGTCCGTCAGTCTGTCCGTCTGTCAGTCCCTCACAAAAAGTTTAACCTTGCCCATAAATTTTGATTTAGTAGAGCTATGACTTTCATATTCCACATGACTGTGTATTCCTTGTGATAAGACCTTTCTTTGGGTACCACCAAATTTGACCTTTTGATCTTGACCTCGCAGGTTGGCCCACTTTTACACAAAAATTCCAAACTTTTACTTTGGCTATAACTTTCATATTATACAAATTTATTTTTTGTGACAAGACCTTTTATTGGATACCAACAACTTTGACTTTGACCTTGGAAATTTACGTACTTATGAAATAACTTTAACCTTGACCATAACTTTTGAACGGTAAGGGCTAGGGCTTTCATACTTCATAAATGTAATTCTTGTGAGAAGACCTTTCATTGAATACTAAGAACTTTGACCTTTTGACCTTGGAATTTAACCTACTTTTCAAAAACTTTGACCTTGCCACAACTTTTGAACAGTAGATACATGTACTAGGACTTTCACATTTCACATATGTATTCTTTGTGGCAAGTTCTTTCATTTGATATCAACAACTTTGACCTTTTGACCTTGACCTTGGAGATTCTTTTGTACTTATGAAAAAACTTTAACCTTGACCATAACTTTTGAAGGGTAAGGGCTAGGGCTTTCATACTTCACATATGTAATCCTTGCGAGAAGACTTTTCATTGGATGCCAAGAACTTTAACCCTTTGACCTTGGAGTTCAGTGATGATTTCTAAATAAAAGACATATGATAGGGTGTTCATATTACACACAATATGTCATAAAAATGACATCTCACCTACAGAGACACCGAAAGCGGGGGACCACAATTCCTTGAATTTGCTTGTTTTATGTATAGGTATGTATTTTCCAGATAATGTTTTCAAGTTTAGATATGGATAAACTAAAAAATATTACGGATTTAAATTCATAAAGGCACACATTAATTACAAACACGTTGAAAACATGTGCAATTTTACAGAAATCATGCTTATGTTCAATTGCAGGAAACCTTCTATAGTTGAATTATTAACATTTTTCTGCTAAGGACGAAAAATAATAGTTAGACCAAGAATGTAAAACAATTTCAGTCACTATGGCTAATTGTGACGTTTTGGATGGGGGGGGGGGGGTGCTTACGTTTATTTGATTGTCTACGTCACAATTTAATTAACTTCACAACCTAACAAAAGGAAAAAGTAAGTATACCCATTTTTTCTCTCTGGTATCTCTTTAAGACTTGATTCTATTTTTTTCTTCAAATGTAAGAGTTCAGTGTTTGAAATCGGCACCAATAGATACGTACTTTTTTTTATCCAACATTCGACACTTTGAAAATTTTGTAAGTAAATTTAAATCTTATGTTTTTTACCTGGGATAATTAAAAAAAAAATCTCAACTCAATTACTGACAAAAATATCAACCACCCCAACCACCCCATAATCCCACAACAATAAGTTACAGTGCCGTGTAAAGGCAATATTAAAAAAATAATAAAAAATAAGTCTAGATCTAAAGAAAAAAATCTTTTTTATTCTTTGTGAAGTTTTTCTGCTATTCTTACGTCATAATTACATTATCACGTGATCAAACGTCACAAACAGTTTGACGTAACAATCATCACTAAACAAAACAAAACAGTGTTGAGCTTGGAAGTAGAAGGTAAAGAATCAGGGGCAGTAAGCATATGTGAGCTGCCCAATATTTTTTAAATATTTTTATACCAGTGTTATCGTTAAGTTGATTTATTTTTCATATATCGAGATGTTCAGTTTGATGGAAATAGCAATAAAATTTTCAACATTTGATTTGTAGTTGAGTTATCACCATGTGAAGTAGGGCGATTTTTCCGGAATTGAGAAATTTCCATCAAATTCTCACATTCCAAACAGGATTTAGATATGGCCGCACGCAAACAACAGAGTAAAAATTTAATAGATTGTTTAAAATGGCACAATAAATTATATCCCAAAATATCATTCTGTTGCTTGCATGCGGCCACCCTGAAAAATATATAAAACGATGTTTTTCGAGGCCGATTTTGATCGCTTCCGGTTTCGGTTTTTATATTCAGACGTAAACAAAGTTGGAGGAAACAGAAAATGTGACAGTAGATTTATCGAAGTTCTAACCATTTAACAGGTAGGGATGAATTGAAAATCAGAGCAATTGTAATTTTACATGCACTGTTCAAAATTAAATCCCCTCCTATACTTATTAATGATAGCAGATTCGACATGACAGACTCCGCTAACTCCATGAACTCGGGGGGGACGGTAATCTTCACATGCATGTCAAACAGTTGAAAATAGAAAATGTGTATCTAAAATACATCAAACAGGAACACAAAATGCTATCTTCTTTCAAAGAAAAAAATAGATTATAAAAAAAATGACTTAATCATCGATTCTTTTTTATTTAGGCCCTAATATTCATGATTCATTCATATGAACCGTCGATCGGCCGGTTGATCTTCATGATTAGCCGCGTTTTATCAGTTGTGAAAATCTTTACATATACAGCATTAAAATATAAATATACTACATTTCTAGGTTGGGGTTTATAACATATTTTTCTGTCTGAGTACAAATACAACTGAGTCTAGCCTTACACTGGTACCTGTGTACTTTGCGTAAATGTGTGGTGTGCTATAACAGTCAAAAATAAAAAAAATGGCAAGAAGTTTTTTTTTTTTTTTTATTTATGTTAAACCATTAAAGAAATAAAAAAAATTGTTTCTTAAAAATAAGCTAACATCACTAAATCTAATTAATGTTCGTTGCAGAATAAACAATATAAATTCTTTCTATTTTTCTTGTGGGAACAATGTATTTTTGTTGTTTTTTTTAACTTATTAATTAAAATATTATTAATGTAAAATTAAACTTTTGTCAGTATTAAAAAAAATAATTAGATTACCTTGGAATATTATGAATTCATTTAAATCACCATTTAAATGAAGAAAAAAAATGTTTGTCATTACAAGGTTCATCTTTTTTGTTTTAATTTAAAGTACCCAATAATGTCATTGCTTCAGATTTTATTCATTTAACTCAAATAAGTAAATCAATAAAACTGCTATTTAAATTGATTTCATGAATGAAATAATTATATATTATACCTGGTGATACATGTATAAATAAATTATTCCCCTTTTCTCATATATAAAGAAAATCTTATGCAAATGTATATACACTGTACAAGTAACCCCCTTCATTCATGTATAGACAAAATGTCAATAGTTACATAATATATATAGTAATTTAATTTTGATGTTTATATTTTAATTGTAGGATGCCTGGAGATGGTCCAAAACAATATCCTGTTACTGGAGCTGTTACTTGTTAGTATTGTCAGTGCCGTGCTGGAGCCAGAGTTGTCGGGGCATGTGCCCATGTGGCCTCAGTATTGTGGTTTCTTGGCTATGAAAGACACACAAACTTTGCAGTAAGACCTATTCAAGACTGGGCTGACTACTTGAGAATGCAGCTGTGCAACCTGCAGTAATGGATGGCTCATCAGAAAGTGAAATGAGTGCAACGGAAGAGTGACATGAATTGTGACATTGGTTTATTGATAGTGAACATTATTGAGAGTGAACATTCTGCAGATTATAGGCGTCTCCATATAAATGAAAATTCTCAAGAGGAACGTTAAACAATATACAATCAATTAATCAATCAATCTGCATGTTATGATATCAACTGCATTAGACTCCCATTATTGTTTTCAACAATATAGTGGAAGGCTGTGTATATATTGTTATTTATTAATTGTAAATAGGGATTTTTATGTATCTATGATTTTTTTTATGTTTAAATTGTGATTTCTTAACATCTGTTATATAATTGAGAAATTAAAATATAGTACATTGTACATCCCAAAAACATAGTAGATTCATTGCATGAGTTTAATAAGTTTGGTTGTAAATATTGAAAGATGAATTATGTACTTTGACAAATGAAATGATTTGTTATTATCATATTATGATTAATTGTTATCAAAATTAATATACTGATGTAAAATGCATAATGCATCACAAAATGTTTCTCAGATAATAGTAACAATTATAGTTTATTATGCAATGTGTTTATTTGCATATTGAACTTTGTTAATAATTAACATGACTATATACAAGTACTTGTTATTTTTTGTAATACAATGTAATTACAAAACCTTTCCAGACAAACATGTACTAGAATAACTAATTCTTTGATGCTTAGGTCATTTTTATGACATTGTGAGGATGATAAACATTATTTTATTATGAGTAAATGTAGTGTATAAGGCATGAGTGGTGTGATGTTAAACTTCTATGATCTTTTTGGAAAAAGTATAGGTGGGTGATGGGAGTTCTGGAATTTGTTTATGCAAACTGAAATCCCTTATTGTTATTTTTGTCAAGTTTAATGAATTGTTATTAAAAATGTTAATTGAATACATTTCTTGTTTGTTCACTTTGTGCATTCAATGTATTTTTATGTGAAATACATACAAGTAAATTCAAAGAATTGTGGCCCCCGCTTTCGGTGTCTTTGTGAGTGAGATGTTATTTTTTTAATGACATATTGTGTCTAATATGAACACCCTACCATATGTCATTTATTTAGAAATTATCATTGAAGTTGATTTTTTTGAAGGATGAAAACCCTAATCCTGACCGTTAAAAACTTATGGCCAAAGTGAAAGTTTTTAAAGGAGGTCAACTCCAAGGTCAAGATCAAAGGGTCAAAGTTGTTGATATCCAATGAAAGGTCTTCTCACAAGAATTAAGTATGTGAAGTATGAAAGTCCTAGCCGTTATCGTTCAAAAGTTATGGTCAAGGTTAAAGTTTATTCATAAGTAAGTAGATCTTTAAGGTCAAGGTCAAAGTTGTTGATATCAAATTAAAGCTCCTGCCACAAAAAAATATATATGTGAAATATGAAAGTCTTATTATCTATCGTTCAAAAGTTGTGACCAAAGTTAAAGTTTTTTGTAAAAGTAGTGAAAACTCCAATGTCAAGGTCAAAGGGTGAAAATAGTTGGTATCCAATGAAAGGTCTTCTCAAAGGATTACATATTTGAAGTAGGAAAGCCCTAGCTCTCACATTTCAAAAGCTATGGTCAAGGTTAAAGTTTATTCATAAGTACGTAAATCTCAAAGGTCAAGGTCAAAAGGTAAAGGTTGTTGGTATCCAATGAAAGGTCTTGACTCAAAGAATACATATGTGAAAAATAAAAGTTCTAGTATCTACTGTTTAAAAGTTGTGACCAAGGTTAAAGTTTAAAAAGTAGTTAAAACTCCAAAGTCAAGGGGTAAAAGTTGTTGGTATCCAATGGAAGTTTTTTTTTTACAAGGATTACATATGTGAAGTACGAAAGCCTTAGTCACCACCGTTCAAAAGTAATGGTCAAGGTTAAAGTTTTTTCATAAGTACTGAAACTCCATGGTCAAGGTCGAAAGGTCAAGGTTGTTGGTATCCAATGAAAGGTCTTGCCACAAAAAATACATATGTGAAATATGAAAGTCCTAGTACCTACCATTCAAAAGTTATGGCCAAAGTAAAAGTTTGGAATTTTTGTGTAAAAGTGGGTTAAACTCAAAGGTCAAGGTCAAAAGGTCAAATTTGGTGGTACCCAAAGAAAGGTATTGTAACAAGGAATACACATGTGTAATATGAAAGTCATAGCTCCATTAAATCAAAAGTTATGGGCAAGGTTAAAGTTTTTGTGACGGACAGACTGACGGACAGACGAACAGATGAATTAGATTTAATGTCCCCTCGCTTTAGCGAAAGCGAGGGACAAAAACAACTGTTTTACATTAAAATCCGCTTTTTTACCACTAATAGCTAAAAAAATAGTTTCTATTCACATGTTTAAGATCATTTCTGTTGTACTTGTATTAAACATCCATCTTTTATTTCTTTAATCATATTTACAGGGAAAAAAATTATTAAGAATTTCCAGAAATCAGTGAAAATTGTGTTATTTTTGTATTGACCCCAAAATGTCTTAATAGTGTTTTTTTCATCAAAATATGTCTGAAAAGGTGTGATTCAATAATAATTCTTTTAATATTTATAATATTTTGTCCATTATGGTTGGGGCATATTTAGGGTCTTAATGCCCCTGATTCTTTAGTCCAGAGCTTTGTTATAATTCTTCTTGTCAGAATTATTTTTAAATAATATATTGCATGGTATTTGTCAAATTTCTGAGAAATATTATTGTTTCTTCATGTAGCAAGGCAAGCAACTATGGACATCGATTGGAATGAGATTTTAGATTTCGGCGACAGTGCTGTCACAGATGTTGTGAGTTTAACTTTCTTATACAAATATTTTTTTATTAAAAGAAAAATAAGTTACGTCAGGTACCTGTGACAAATACATGCAACTAGACTGTCAGATTTTAAAATATCTTTTTTGTATTTTTTTTTAAATGGTTGTCGAATGTATATAATCATTAATATGATTTCAAAACTAAAATGATCAACATTGGCAACAAAATTAATGTACATCTACAAGCAATTTAAAGAGGGGTGGGGTGGGGGATACTTTTAATACACTGCTTTTCATTATATTTAATCTTTTTTTATCAATTATATCACCCCCTCCGCATTTTAAATTTTGAATTTGATGAGTACTAGTATTTGTTTATTCTCTATCTATTGTTTTTTAGGACTCAAAGCTAAAGATCTTGAAATTTAGTTATAGTTGGGCAGATGCCGTTGAAGAGAAGGAGAGACTTGTGGAGGTGAATAATAGAATATAGGGAGTAAAGTGCATATACTAGTACATGATGTAGCTTTGTAACAAAATTTATGATTAAAATAGGGAAGAAAATCAGTACATGTGTATTTTGAAATTCAAATGATTTCTTTAGTGGCATACTTATTATAAAATTATAAAACAAAGTTTGTAATTGCCACTCAAGGTTATCTGTAAAAGTGTGCATGGTCATTTTATTTTCTTTGATATTTTAGGCCCAAAAGCAAGAAGACATGGAAAGAGTGCTGAATAAAGAGATAACAGGGGAACAGACAAAGAGCAAACACATTGACAACATCAGGTATGATTGTCAAATATAAATCTAATATCAGCACATCATATAGTTTTGACATATTTCAATCCTTTATAATTATATGTACTCTAAGAGTTTTAAAATATTGAGATTACCAATAACATAAACATTGTATTTCTCTACACAGAGAGGAAACAGATTTTGGCAATGAACCTGTTAAAGACTGGGTAAGTGATTTTGGATTTACATATTATTCTCGATTTAAATTTAATAAAACCCTGAACATAATTATATATCAGCCTTTACATGACATAAGTTTCACATTCTGTTCCCTTTTCTTTATTAATCCCATGTAGATGTACCAGTATTTATTCTTTACTTACAGAGAAAAAAGCTTCAGATTTTAAAGTTTGACTATTCGTGGGCAGAGAGGGTTGAGGAAGAGGAAAGAAGAACTGAGGTATTTTAGTCCATTCAGATTTATTCAGTGGGGATTCCAATGATAAATACCACTGTTTGCCTTTGACATATTTTGTTTTTGTTTTACTTACAGTTAGCTAATACTGTGGGACAGAGAACTGGAGTGGAGAGAAGCAGACTTGAGTCAACTCATAGAAGAAAGCAGAAAGACAACTTCAGGTACTGATTCAATTTATTGTTACGGTCTTTTAATTTCAGTTACATTAGATTATTTTTTCATTTTGTACTGTAAATAATTTAGAGCTCTGTACTTGGATTAAACAAAATCTGACTGCAGATAATTAACTAAATTTAAAATAAACAATTTTAACAAAATCTTTTCTTTTTAATTTGAATTTTTGGCACCACAATTTGTTTATATATCTTGCATTATTCTATAGACTTGAAAATATAATAATAAAAACATCATTGCAAAAAATGTTTACAATATTGATCATATCAACACTTTCCTTCATTAAATACGTGGATGTCACTTAAGTTTCAGTGTCTAGTGCAGTACAAAAACCCCTTTTCATTTTTTAGGGAAAAGAGATATGATGCAAAGAAGCTTCCAAACAACTCAGTAAAAAGACAAAATTATTCTCGAAGAATAAAACAAGAGGTAAAGTGTTCATTCATACATACAGATACCAGTATATGCATAAATGTACGTTATACATGTTTATATTAGTTTATCAGGAACATTATTTCCTTCTTTAATTTCTTTTAACTGATTATTTAATTTCTTGCATTCAGTAAAACCAGGCAATAAAATTACATTTATTTACCTATTTTTTTAGATCTTCACACCAACAACAGAACAAAGAAAGAATGTGAATATATATAACAAGAGAGATTTTCCTAAAGAGGGCCAACAAATTACAAACACTGGTCTAACAGAAAAACAGTCTCCCACTGAAAGGATAAAGTTAGCAGAGCTGAGAAAAGCAGATAAACAAGTTATCCCGGCAGAAAAGAAGTCAGCCCGGCTTATCACAGAGGAAAAAAAGTCAGCCAAGCTTATCACTGAGGAAAAGTCAGCTGAGCTTATCACAGAGGAAAAGTCAGTTGAGCTTATCCCTGAGGAAGAGTCAACCCAGCTTATCCCAGAGGAAAAGTCAGCCAAGCTTATCAAAGAGGAAAAGTCAGCCGAGCTTATCACACAGGAAAAGTCGGCTGAGCTTATCACAGAGAAAAAGTCAGCCGAGCTCATCACAGAGGAAAAGTCAGCCCAGGTTATCTCTGAGAAAAAGTCAGCCAATCTCATCAGTGAGGAAAAGTCAGTCAAGCTTAACACTGAGCAAAAGTCAGCCCAGGTTAACACAGAGGAAAAGTCAGCTGAGCTTATCATAGAGGAAAAGTCAGCCGAGCTTATCACAGAGGAAAAGTCAGCCCAGCTTATCACTGAGGAAAAGTCAGTTGAGCTTATCCCCGAGGAAAAGTCAGCCAAGCTTATCACTGAGAAAAAATCAGCCCAGGATAGCACAGAGGAAAAGTCAGCCAAGGTTAGCACAGAGGAAAATTCAGCCAAACTTATCACAGAGGAAAAGTCATGCAAGCTTATCACAGAGGAAAAGTCAGGCAAGCTTATCACTGAGGAAAGGTCAGCCAAGCTTAACCCAGCGGAAAAGTCAGCCAAGCTTAACACAGAGGAAAAGTCAGCCAAGCTTATCACAGAGGGAAAGTCAGCTGAGCTTATCACTGAGGAAAAGTCAGCTGAGCTCATCACAGAGGAAAAGTCAGCTGAGCTCATCACAGAGGAAAAGTCAGCCGAGCTCATCACTGAGGAAAATTCAGCCCAGGTTATCACAGAGGAAAAGTCGGCCCAGCTTATCACTGAGGAAAGGTCAGCCAAGCTTATCACTGAGGAAAAGTCAGCCCAGGTTAACGAAGAGGAAAAGTCAGCTGAGCTTATCACAGAGGAAAAGTCAGCTGAGCTTATCACAGAGAAAAAGTCAGCAAAGCTTATCACAGAGGAAAAGTCAGCCAAGCTTATCACAGAGGAAAAGTCAGCTGAGCTCATCACAGAGGAAAAGTCAGCCAAGCTTATCACTGAGGAAGAGTCAGCCCAGGTTATCACAGAGGAAAAGTCAGCCCAGCTTATCACTGAGGAAAAGTCAGCCAAGCTTATCACTGAGGAAAAGTCAACCCAGGTTAACACAGAGAAAAAGTCTGCTGAGATTATCACAGAGGAAAAGTCTGCTGAGCTTATCACAGAGAAAAAGTCAGCCAAGCTTATCAAAGATGAAAAGTCAGCTGAGCTTATCACTGAGGAAAAGTCAGCCCAGCTTATCACAGAAGAAAAGTCAGCTAAGCTGATCACAGAGGAAAAGTCAGCCCAGGTTAACAAAGAGGAAAAGTCAGCCAAGCTTATCACAGAGGAAAAGTCAGCTGAGCTTATCACAAAGAATAAGTCAGCCAAGCTTATCACAGAGGAAAATTCAGCCAAGCCTATCACTGAGGGAAAGTCAGTCCAGATTATCCCAGAGGAAAAGTCAGCCAAGCTTATCACTGAGGAAAAATCAGCCCAGGTTAACACAAAGGAAAAGTCAGCCAAGTTTATCACAGAGGAAAAGTCAGCTGATCTTATCACAGAGAAAGAGTCAGCCAAGCTTATCAAAGAGGAAAAGTCAGCCCAGGTTATCACAGAGGTAAAGTCAGCCAAGCTTATCACTGAGAAAAATTCAGCCGAGCTTATCACTGAGGAAAAGTCAGCTGAGCTTGTCACAGAGGAAAATTCAGCCAAGCTTATCACAGAGGAAAAGTCAGCTGAGCTAATCACAGAGAATAAGTCAGCAAAGCTTATCACAAAGGAAAAGACAGCCAAGCTTATCACAGAGAAAAAGTCAGCCCAGGTTAATGTAGAGGAAAAGTCAGCTGAGCTGATCACAGAGGAAATGTCAGCTGAGCTTATCACTGAGGAAAAGTCAGCCCAGGTTAACACAGAGGAAAAGTCAGGTGTGCTTATCACTGAGAAAAATATAGCCGAGCTTATCACTGAGGAAAAGTCAGCCGAGCTTGTCAAAGAGGAAAATTCAGCCCAGCTTATCACAGAGGAAAAGTCAGCCCAGGTTATCACAGAGGAAAAGTCATCCAAGCCTATCACTGAGGAAAAGTCAGCCCAGGTTATCACAGAGGTAAAGTTAGCTGAGCTTATCACAGAGAAAAATTCAGCGGAGCTTATCACTGAGGAAAAGTCAGCTGAGCTTGTCACAGAGGAAAATTCAGCCAAGCTTATCACTGAGGAAAAGTCAGCCAAGCTTATCCCAGAGGAAAAGTCAGCCAAGCTTAACACAGAGGAAAAGTCAGTCGAGCGTATCACAGAGGAAAAGTCAGCTGAGCTTATCAATGAGGAAAAGTCAGCCCAGCTTATCACTGAGGAAAAGTCAGACGAGCTTATCACTGAGGAAAAGTCAGCCCAGCTTATCCCAGAGGAAAAGTCAGCCAAGCTTATCACTGAGGAAAAGTCAGTCCAGGTTAACACAAAGGAAACGTCAGCCAAGCTTATCACTGAGGAAAAGTCAGCCCAGGTGATCACAGAGAAAAAGTCAGCCGAGCTTATCACAGAGAAAATGAAGTCACCAAACCTTGGATTATCAACAGATCCAGAATGTCTTGTGGTGTCAAAGAATCAAGATACTCCAATCAATACAGAGAAATCATTTTTACATGAGGTATTACATAAAATTTTCAAAATTTATATAATTATGTTCCCCAAACGAAGTTGGGGAACATATTGTTTTTACTCTGTTTCTTATTATTATTATTATTAAGGTCTTCCGTCTTCACGGAAGACCTTATAGTGATTCTACTGTTTCTTATTATTATTATTATTATTATTCTTTTTATTATTTTTTTGACTTTCTAATTTTGTGCACGCGATTTCTCGGAGACTACTGGGTGGAATAATGTGAAATTTTCAGAAAAGATGTTTCGTCATATGAATTTTATATATCCGAGAGATTTTTTGGAAATTCGCTTCCGGTGCCAAGTTATAGGACAATTCCTGATTTTAAAATGCAATTTTGTCCGTGGTTAATCTCAAGAACGGTAAAAGATATCATTGTGAAACTTTTAGGGATTATAGATCGTGATATTCACTATCCAGGACGCGACCTTTCGTTCGTCGTCAGTACTTCCTGTTGTTACGACAAGCGAATTAAAAAAATTGTATTTTCTAACTTTTTTATTTTTCAGTATTTTTCATTTCTTTTTGAAATGCTAATAGAGACCCTTCTATTTATGCTTACTATATAAGTTGTTTGAATATTGGTTAATCTTATCTCTAGATATTAATATTTGAAAATCTGAAGCGGGCCCAAGATGGCGGCTGTCTCTGTCAACTCCGCCATTTCGCGAGTAGGGGCTTATGGAGGCAGCTGAGCGTTTTATTAAACCATTCTGACATAAGGATACATGAAATGTAAAAAACTACTTCGACTTTCACGTAGTAGTGAAATGGTTGGAGGAGTTACCTCCCGTTACTTGTGTATATTATAATAGATAATCAACGTAAATATTGTAATTAATTGGTCAACTGACTAAAGAATTATACAAGTATTATTGATAAATGATGTTCTGTTAGAAAATAATAATAGTGTTGCACAAAGAAAGGCAATCTGTTTTATTTTATCAATATGATATCTGATAACTTATGATCATTGATTAAGTTGAGGTACAAGTGGGCAGTGCAGCCAACTGGCTTGTGTCTTCACTTTGGTACAGAAACCAGTTGGTTTATCGATCAAATCGGACTGTGCAAAGTTGCCGTAGTCAGTGACTAGTTAAAATGTAGCTGTGTGACGTTAGCTATAGGGTTGTCATTAGGACAGAGAAGCTCTTACAAAGTTAAATCAATATCATACTGTGCAAGTATATTGTAGCCACTTGGCTAGAGTTATAGAGGCAACTTGGTAAGCAGTAATACAACAGGCAGGTGTTAAGGCTAAATCAAGAGGTACAAGGCAGATAGATGTTGACTTATATAGTCAGTTGTACGAGCATAGTGAGGCAATTATCATATGGCACCAGGCAGGTGCCGGTATTAACTGAAGATATATAATTATACAAAGCACTTAGATCATTTGATTTAAAGACACCAGGCAGGTATCATATTATTATCTGTATATATTGCATTCAATCATATCCCCAGTAAAACTCGGTAATCCGAGCACGGACCTACTGACCGCTCAGATCCGACACGTTACAGTAGTACGTTGCAATTGAGTGTCAATCTTAAAACTTAATTTCCGTTTCACTGCTTTAGTGTAACTGGGCTAGATACGATATATAATGTGTATAATGTGTTACATATACTTTCTTAACGTCGAAACAAAATAAAGGCGCTAAGAATGTTTTATTTTTAAAATATAATTGATGCTATCATACCTATCTAATAGATCAGTCCAAAGAAAAGGTGCGAATATTTACTCGTGGCGTTTGGCGCGAAATTATGAATGCTTTTTATAATTCTTAGACAGGTGAACTGTTGCAAAAGTACCGTGGTATACACAAGTATATTTAGAGCAGTACTCCCAATAGCTTAATGGTTAGCGCTTTGGGCATATAAAAGTAAAAAGAAAAGCGCATTCACGTTGGCGACATGGTTTCAATCCTTGTGACCAAAATTTTGAATCTCTTTTCAGCTCGGTTTTACGTGGGTTTCTTTTCCTAAAACGGACGGAAGACCTCTCGTTGCTCGCAACGAGATCGTATCTAGTTATTATTATTTTTCTTCTCGGGAAAATTTTGTCCGCGAATGATCTTGTAAACTACACATCCGATTTAGGTGAAATGTTTTTAGGGTCAGTAGACATGTTATGTAGATTTGCGGAATCAAGGTCATTTTGCGCGCACGTGCTTGCAAGAGCGCGCACGTGTAAAACTTGAAATGACCAATATATAATGGATAAAACCGTAACTTTTCTATTTTTTAACAAAATGTTTTGAAACTCATAATGTAAGGATATATTAGTAGGATGCACAAGATGACATGGTCAAAATAGCAAGATTGCACGCGCTTGCACGTGCGCTTTGCTCTGATTGGCTGAAACTAAAGTCTCTATATCTTTCTTGTTTTTTGATAAAATCATTTGAAATTTTGAACATAGTTATACATTAGGGAGATCTACAGCCTGTAATATAAGAATTATCATGAAAGCATGTGCATGCACGTGTGCTTGCAAGAGCTCGCACGTGCAACATGAGAAATGTCCAACATAATTGATACAGACTTAACTATTTAAATTATTGATGAAATGCTTTGAAACTCATATTATAAGTATATATTAGAAGCATAGACAAGATGACATGGTCAAAAAAGCAAGATCTCACGCACATGCTCGTGAGCTTTGCTCTGATTGGCTGAAACTAAAGTCTCAATACCTTTCTTGTTTTTTGACGAAATCCTTTGAAATTTTAAACATAGGCATGTATTAGGATATCCTACAATAAAATATATAGCAATTATCATGAAAACGCGTGCATGCACATGCGCTGCAATCTGATTGGCTTATGCTTTAAATAGCTATAACTCCCTAGGTTTTCAATCAAACAGGATGGGATTTGGAATATAGATAGATATGCATAGAGTTTGTCTTATTTAATGAAGCTTGCAGGGAATGTGGCACCAAAAGGAAGTTGGGGAGCGTTTGGGGAACATCTGTAACGGTCCCCGTTACAATTAGCACTAGTTATTTATTTAATCTATAAATTGAAGCAGAAGGAAATTTTAAGATGTGCCTGTCTAAATTGAATATTTCTTTGCTATCTTTTCCCAGATTAATTTTTATAATACTAGTATATTTGTTGTATGAAATCCTTACACTATATGTACATGTGTATGTAATAACAATGTGACAATTCTACATTTCCCAGCTTCTGAAGGAAGACATTGCTGATGAATACATTAACAATGATAATAAACGTGAAGATGATGATTACGATGATGATGATGATGATGATGGCCTGTTTGGCCCTAGAAGGCTCTTCTTCTTTGGTGTTGACTATTTTAAGGTAAAATTTATGCTTAATGACCTTAAAACCAAATTTTATTTTTATTTTGCTTGTGGATAAAATTGTTTAATCTTTATGGGTTATTTTTTATCTTAACTTAGTGTACATGTATTAAATTTTTTTTAGGGTGCTAAAAAATCCATTTGGTGAAAACAAACAAAAGCTTGATGGAAGGACAGAAGAATAGTTCGGAGGAAAACCGAAAAAAATTGTTATATAAATGTAATAAATGTCAGTTATTTACACAATCAAGTGTTAATTATTTATAATTTCATATAATCAAAATAAGGTACAGAGGTGTATTTAGTATGTAGTTCAATAACAATTACATGGTATATGTAGAAAAACTCGGAATGCACATGACCATATACATGTTTGAAAAGAGATACAATTAAGAATTTGCCTGATGAATGAAGTGACAAAGCCTTGGAAATTCAGGGATTACTTTTTTTGTTCTTGTCAAGGATCAAATTTTTGCTTTGTAGTTCACCTATAAATGTTTGGTTGGGCAAAAAGGAAAATACTATAGTAAACTAAAAATGTTTCCTGCTGGTCTGTCAGCTTAAAAGAAATCATTCAAAAGTGAGTTAACTCTAAACTTGAACAAATTTGAATCTACATTAGCCAAGGATGCTTTTATTTACTAGTATTTATTTATATGAATGCAAAACGAATGATCATCTTAGCAGAACAAACGTACATAAAAACACTACAAATGAACAAACTCAACAAACGGGCAAGGGGTAAATCTAGTCTTTATGACACCATTAGGGTGTGATTTGCAAGTCCGTTTTTGTCCACGGTTTCGTGAAAATGAGAGGACATTAAATCTCATTCATCTGTCAGTCTGTAAGTCTGCCAGGCCTATCCGTCTGTCACAAAAACTTTAACTTTGGTCATATTTTTTGAATGGGACTTTCATATTACACATGTGTCTTTTACTCGTGACATTAAGACCTTTCTCAATACACTACATTTTTTTATCCCCTTACCTTGATCTTGACGTTTGACCTATTACCCAGGGGCGGATCCAGCAACTTTTGAGGGGGGGGGTCGAGGTTGGTGCCCACAGCACTCATGCATAGAATCACAGCACGGCCACTTCAAGTCCGTAGCTACATTTATAAGAAGGGGTGACCTCCAAACACAGTTGATAAGCAAAAACAAAAAACAAAAACACCTATGCAACACACTCTAAAATCTTTTTTTGAGAAGGGGGCTTTCTGTAACTTTTTTGTTCGGTACATTTATAACTTTCAAATGCTTGAAACTGCGTATTTTCTGGCGACAAAAAATGTGGAGGGATCTTCCAAATCAAAATATTAATGAAAACTACAGCAAAAGGTTATTCTCAGAAAAAAATGAGCCCCCCCCCTCCATCTGCATACTATGGGAACATTTTAAACCTTTCTCTTCATTGATTATGCAAACTTCTAAAAGTTAGTTACTGCTGAAGATGGTCCAAAAATTGTATAGCTAAAGTTCGCCGGAATCTTCCTTGCATGTTACTTGTGGATGTTCGGAGCCCTTAGCCGGGGTTGTGAAGGTACACGGAGGAAAGCATATACATGTACACGAAAAGCTACAGATTTAGCCAGCAGAAAGGACAGAGATTTTTGTATTTCTTTTTTCAAATTATTATTTAGTATAAATATCTATATTACAGAAAAAAAACACATATTCTCTCTCCCCCCCCCCCCTTTATCTCTCTCTGTGTGTACAAAAATAAAGGGGGGTGTTTCCAACCACCAGAATCCCCCCTCTGGATCTGCCAATGTTACCAACAAGAAACATATTGACGCAAGCGTCAAAAATCGGCCGCAAAGCAATTTATATAACTGTTGAAATTATTTTAGAAACTGAAATTTGCTGTGTTTTTTTTTAATTTCTTATATTTTTCTGTTAAAATATCCTCGTGACACGAAAAAAATGCATGCGACAATGCCGATTTTCTTCATGAATAATGCATGTACAATATTACATGTATAGGCAATATAAACTGTGCATAGTCCTCTGCGTTGGTACAACTTAACGAACTCTGGTGAGTTTGCTGTTGAAGTAGTTTTTACATAAAACGTACAAAACTAAAGTTTAAACTTAGCTATAGTTTTACCTTAATAAAAACGCAACAAATATATAATATGTGGGGCTCCTCGCTCTTTCTCTTAGAGGATGTAACCCCCCCCCCCGAACTCCTTCTAGATCCACCACTATATTACTTCTCTTTCAATCTCTTTGTTTTGGTGTTGAGATGTGGCGGGAAAGTCTTTGGCACATTGTAAAACGCGCTCTATCCTACTCTCCTGGACGAACATGTCGTAATATTCTTTGTTTTTAAGGAATCAATATTTCATCATATTTTTGAAAAACATCCATAGGAAATGTTTAGATATACACTTCATTTCAAATAAATACAGCAGATCCTGTTTTAAAAAGAGAAAGTAAAATTGTTGATTTACAACGCGGTCTTTGTTTTAGACTATGCCTAACACTCGTACCAATTTTCTCCGCACTTCAGTTATATCAGAGTTTGTCAATCAGGATTGGATGAAATATTTACCCCATTATTTATAAAATTTAATTTTACGATTATTGTGCTTTTTCTAAACATTTAGACAATCTTTGTTTAATATTGATTCGCCAGCGATATGAATGTTGAATATTTTTATTTAAATTGTTAACTCCGCAGAAACGCACAGCGACTTAAAACTTTCATATCATATAACCGACCGCCTCCTGGCGGCCGGTAATGAAAGTCCTTTCTTAACTATGAATTTTGACCTCTTGACCTTGAAGTTTAACCTACTTTTCAGAAATGCTCCTTATGACTTTTGATTTAGAAGAGATAGGGCTTTCATATTTGACAGGTGCATTACCTGTGGCAAAATATTTCCGAGCATGCTATGATTTCTGACTTCTTGACCTTCATGGTTGACCTATTCTTTTCCAAAACACCTCCAAAAACTTTGGTGATAACTCTTGAAAAACATATGAAAGGGCATTCATCATATTTGACAAAACAATAAATAATGACATATTACCCACAGACACCGAAAGCGGGGGACCACAATTCTTTGAATCTGCTTGTTAAACTTAATGTGTCCTTGCCACCTGGGGGCTATTTCAAACTGGGGCAAATTAAATTATATCTTGGTGAACGAAAAAGGGGTTGTCATCTACTACATGTAATGAGGCAAACATAACCGTATATCATATATTCCCCAAGTAAAACAAGAGGCCCATGGGCCTTATAGGTCACCTGAGCATTATGCAACAACTTTCCAGTGATTGAATTTGATTCATGTTTTAACAATTAAGCCAGGTGCTATGGCATTCACAATTTTGAAAGAGGCACCATTGATCATCATAACAATACACTTAGCAGTTGCTTAGTTTGTTTACTTAATACCCATATGCAGGGTAAGGGAACAAAAAATGCATCTCAACTAATCAGTAATATTCAGCAATAATCAGTAGTGCCCCTACCACACATGAACCCCTGACCCTTAGGCCTTGATATTTGATTAATACCAAGGAGCAGATTTCAAACCATTCACTTATTTTCAGTATATAAGTACAGCCCCCCCCTTCTATGGTACCCCTGACCCTGGGGCCTTGAAATTCACAATTCTGGAAGATATGGGCCCTTGTCCAGCATAACTATATAGGTAGTTCATCTGCTTAATACCATGGAGCAGAGAAGAAAATTTTCAAAGATTTAATGTATTTTCACTATATAATCAATAGAGCCCCGCCCTAACACCAGAACCCCTGCCCTGGGGCTATAAAATTCACAATTTTGGTAGAGGCACTCTTGCTCATCATAACTATGTACTTAGTTGGATTATTTAATACCCAGGAGCAGAGAAGAAGATTTTTAAAGAATTCATGTATTTACACTATATAATCAATAGAGCCCCGCCCTAACACCAGAACCAAAGACCCAGGGGCAATTAAATTCATAATTTTAGTAGAGGCATTCTTGCTCATCATAACTATGCACTTAGTTAGTTTATTTAATATCCAGGAGCAGAGAAGAAGATTTTCAAAGAATTCATGTATTTTCACTATATAATCAATATAGCCCCGCCCTAACACCAGAACCCCTGACCCTGGGGCCTTGAAATTCACAATTTTGGTAGAGGCACTCTTGCTCATCATAACTATGTACTTAGTTGGTTTATTTAATACCCAGGAGCAGAGAAGAAGATTTTCAAAGAATTCATGTATTTTCACTATATAATCAATAGAGCCCCGCCCTAACACCAGAACCCCTGACCCTGGGGCCATAAAATTCACAATTTTGGTAGAGGCACTCTTGCTCATCATAACTATGCACTTAGTTAGTTTATCTAATACCCAGGAGCAGAGAAGAAGATTTTCAAAGAATTCATGTATTTTCACTATATAATCAATAGAGCCCCGCCCTAACACCAGAACCCCTGACCCTGGGGCCATTAAATTCACAACTTGGTAGTATCACTCTTGCTCATCATAACTATGTGCTTAGTTGGTTTATTTAATACCCAGGAGCAGAGAAGAAGATTTTCAAAGAAATAATGCATTTTCACTACCTACTTATTTAGCCCCGCACTAGCACTAGAACCCCTGACCCCAGGGCCATGAATTTCAAAATTTTGGTAGAGGACTCACTGCTGATTACAATCATGCAAACAGTTTGACTGCTTGATGTCCAGGAGTAAAGAAGAAGATTTTTAAAGATTGCATTAATTTTAGTGGTTTTGGCCCCACCCCTCAGGCCCCAGGGGGGCAGAGATCATGAAATTCACAATTTTTGTTCCCCTTCACCTATAGATGCTTTGTGCCAAATTTGGTTGAAATTGGTTCAGTGGTTGCAGAGAAGAAGCTGAAAATGTTCAAATGTTAACGCACGACGCACAATGCATGACGACGGACGAAAACAGATAGCAATAGGTCACCTGAGTTTAATCAGGTGACCTAAAAATTAGAAACAATTTCAGGAATTTAAGTTTATTCCATAGATGATGCCATATCATGATGCATGTACATGTATATTCAATAACAAACATTGTCTATTGCACTGTGTTTCATATACAAAACAATGAGTATCACAGATTAATGCATAAATTGCTTCATTATCTTCAAGAAAATTAAATGCCTAATTTTTTTTTACATATTAAAATATAAATTAAAACTCTCTTATCAATATAAAGTTTGGAATGAATTTACAGAAAATCCATAGAGATGTGA